CTCCGAAGAAACCCGAAGACAATTTGAGACCTGAGGGTGAATTTGAGAAACCTAAGCATGATGAATGGCGTCCAGCAGAAAGACAAACACCTAAGAAGCCGCAAGATAATCTAAAACCGGAGGGAGAATTTGAGAAACCTAAACACGATGAATGGCGACCAGCTGAAAGGCAAACTCCAAAGAAACCCGAAGACAATTTGAGACCCGAGGGCGAATTCGAGAAACCTAAACATGACGAATGGCGTCCAGCAGAAAGACAAACGCCTAAGAAGCCACAAGATAACCTAAAACCAGAGGGAGAATTTGAGAAACCTAAACACGATGAATGGCGACCAGCTGAAAGGCAAACCCCAAAGAAACCCGAAGACAATTTGAGACCCGAGGGCGAATTCGAGAAACCTAAGTATGATGAATGGCGTCCGGCAGAGAGACAAACACTTAAGAAGCCACAAGATAATTTGAAATCCGAAGGTGAATTTTCAACACCAGAAAAACAGCCTTGGCGACCAGCTGAGCGTCCGAAACAAAAGAAGCCAGAAGATAATCTTAAACCAGAAGGCGAAATCGAAACTAGAAAACCTGAAAAATGGAGACCTGGTGAACGCGAACCTGTAAAACGTCCAGAAGACAATTTGAAGCCAGAGGGTGAATTTACTACTCCCAAGAAAGAAGAATGGAAACCAGCTGAAAAGGCTGTAGTAATAAAACCTGTAGATAATTTGCGTCCAGAAGGTGAATTTACAACTACTAGAACTATAACTGGAGATTACACTATCATTACTGGAGAAAGAGTTGATATAATTAGGCACACTGATAATTTGAGATTAGAAGGTGAATTTGAAAAAACTGAACATAGACAGTGGGTTCCAGCCGAAAGACCTCAAATGACGAAACCAAAAGATAATCTAAAGCCAGAAGGAGAATTTGAGAAGCCTACGCAAGATAAATGGCGTCCAGCTGAAAGGTCTACTCCGAAGAAACCTGAGGACAACTTAAGACCAGAGGGCGAATTTGAAAAACCGAAGCAAGATGAATGGCGACCAGCAGAAAGACAAACACCTAAGAAACCACAAGATAACCTTAGACCTGAAGGAGACTTTGAAAAACCTGAATATGAAAAGTGGCGTCCAGCTGAAAGACCAGAAGTCATAAAACCGAAAGACAATTTAAAACCCGAAGGTGAATTCGAAAAACCTAAATACGATGAATGGCGTCCAGCCGAAAGACAAACACCTAAAAAACCTCAAGACAATCTCAGACCTGAAGGAGAATTCGACAAACCGATACAAAGTGAATGGCGACCCGCTGAAAGACCGACACAGAAAAAACCAAAAGACAACTTAAAACCTGAAGGGGAGTTTGAAAAACCAGAATTTGAGAAATGGCGTCCAGCTGAAAGACCTGAAGTTAAGAAGCCGAAAGATAACTTACAACCCGAAGGTGAATTCCAACAACCAAAACAAGATGAGTGGCGACCTGCTGAAAGACAAAAACCTAAGAAACCTGAGGACAATTTGAAACCAGAAGGTGAATTTGAGAAGCCGAAGAATGATGAGTGGCGTCCTGCAGAGAGACCTGAAGTAAAAAAACCGAAGGATAACTTGAAACCAGAGGGTGAGTTTGAGAAACCGAAACACGATAAATGGCGCCCAGCAGAAAAGCCTGAAGTCAAAAAACCTAAAGACAATCTCAAACCCGAAGGCGAATTCGAAAAGCCCAGACATGAAAAGTGGCAGCCAGCTGAAAGGCAAACGCCAAAGAAACCTCAAGATAATCTTAAACCAGAAGGTAAATTTGACAGGCCTGTGAAACCAAAACTAATATCTGGTGAAAGACCTGTTCAAAAGAAACCAAAAGACAATCTTAAGCCCGAAGGTGACATGGATGTAGTAAGACGAACTGATTACAATGCTACTAGAGGAGAACGCGTTGACGTTGTTAAACACGAAGATCATCTAAAAATGGAAGGTACTATTGACTTACATCGTTCTAGAGACGATTACAAACGAAGTGAGAAAACCGAAAAAGTTGTTGTTCAGAGACATGAAGATAATCTTAGAACTGAAGGAGAGTTTATTGATTTACAAGTTCGTAACGATTATAGTGCAACCAAAGGTGAAAGGGCTCCTGTAATTAAACCGAAAGATAATTTGAAACCCGATGGTAAGTTCTACAAACCTGAAGTAATACCTTCTCAGCCAGCTGAAAAACGAAAGCCGTTCAAGTACGTAGACAATATTACTATCGATACAGAAATTGATTTACGTCAAAGACAAAAGATAGAGAGACTTGATATTATTAGAAGAGAAGACAACTTGAAAATTGAAGGAGAATTTATCGATATGAAACAAAGAAACGACTATAGTGTCACCAAAGGTGAAAGAGCAGCTGTAGTGAAACATGAAGATAATTTGAGGATGGAAGGGAAATTGGAGAATGTGCGATCATCAGATACATATCGTGTCGTAAAAGGACAGAGAGTAAAATTGACTCGTAGAGAAGATAATTTGAAAATTGAAGGTGTGTTTGAAGACCATACACGTCGAAATGATTACAAAGCCATAAAATCTGAAAGGTCTGCCATTGTATCCCATGTTGACAATTTGAAGCCTGAAGGAGAGTTTGAAAGGAAACCTGTGCCGGAGCCTGTCAATGGAGAAAAGCGTTCCCCAATTAAGCAAACTGACAATCTTAAACCAGAGGGCACTTTTGATAGACCCTCGAGACCTAAATGGATTACCGGGAAAAGACCTGAACCAGTGAAGCCTCATGATAATTTACATCTAGATGGTGAATTTCAAAGCAGACCTAAACAGCAGTGGCAAGCAGGTGATACACCTGCACAGGTTCGTCCTCAAGACAATCTTAAGCCGGAAGGCGAATTTGAACGACCTTCGAGACCGAAGTGGGTTACTACTGAAAGACCCGATCAAATAAAACATAAAGATAATCTTTATCCAGAGGGTGATTTTCAGGATAGACCTAAGAGTCAATGGCAACCAGGTGAAACTCCTGCACAATCTCGTCCTAAGGATAACCTAAAGCCAGAGGGTGATATTGATCGCCCTACAAGAGCTAAATGGCAGACAGGAGAAAGACCGAGCCCTGTGCGACCTAAAGATAACTTGCACCTAGAAGGGGAAATAGAGACAAGAACTCCGACCAAATGGAGCGCAGCTGAAAAATCGGGTCCCATTAGACCTAAAGATAATCTATACACAAATGGTGACGTCACGCGTCATGACACTACGAGGGAGGTATCGCGAAAAACAACAGACTCAGTTATCGCACGAGATCAGATGCACAGTGATAACATAAACACATCGCGAACAGAAACTCAAGCCAAACAATCCACTACTCGTAGCACCGCTGAGCACACTACGTCCAAGCATATACATTCCGATTCTCATATAAAACAATCTACTGTTATGTCACAAGACGTCCTTGATCGCACTAGTTCAGAGACATCTATCAACCGTGGAATTCCCCATAATGTAATCGATAAAACAAGTAAGCAAGACGTGTTTGACCGTTCCACATCAAGAAATGTCACCGATAGATCCTTAAGTAAAGGGGATTCTAAAAATATAAAAAGTTCTTCTTCCACTACAAAGACAGTGAAGCAGGTAACAGAAAAAAAATTGATAGCTGGTAAATGGGTAACTGTAACGCGAAATGTAGAGACTAATGTTATATCGGGTGGCGACACTAAAACCATTCAAGATCGTAGTCCTCGTCGTGGTCCTGCTGGTGGAGATATTAGCCGGAATCTTATATCAACGGAGCAAACGGTAGAATCAAGAGACCGAGACGGACAGCAACTCCGTGACACTTCAGAAAGTACAACGTATCGTCATATGTCTAACACCGAACATAGCTCGAAAGGAATCGATTCTACACAAAGAATTACATCCGATCACTCTGCTGTGAAAAGTCACCAAGATAGTCAAAAGGCCACAAGTTCTGAAAGTCATACTCGGAAAAATATCACCCATTCATCTTCGTCATCTCGTGTTTCGTCAGCTAGTCACACAGAACAGCGTTATGTTCAGCAATCAGAGTCTCAGAAATCGCATGAAGACTCATCTCAAAGATTAATATCTTCAGACAGATCATCATCGGTAACACATGGATCAAACTCACAAGAACGTGTTGGCTCAGACAAGAGTCACTTCCAACAGAATGTAACACGATCTAATCAGCAATCGCAATCGGTGAATAGAAGTCAACTGAGTGACAGCGTTACAAAAACTAGCGCGGAATTCCAGAGAGCCATGCACGGTGGAGGAGATGCTATGCTGTCTGCGGTTGATAGCACGGTTCGAAGTGGACATCACAAGCGTTCTTCTGACCTTGTTTCCGACGCCGCTTCATCTAATGCTATTCTTCATCGCAAAGGAATTACATCCACAACTGAAGCTCAACACTCTATAAGTTCTACAGCAGCTGCTCAGCGTAAGAGCATTGGAAATCTATGTGAACGAGGTGAATATATTAGCAATTCCACTCACAGCTCGGACAGAAAGAGTATCAGTTCCATGCATCGTTCTGCTCGTGATAATGTAGGAGTTATATCGCAACACACGGAATTTGATTCTCGTCGCGGTCAAACTAAACGTGATTTAGTGGTGGAGAGGCAACCACGAGTAACAATCCAAGACAATTTGAGAGTCGGAGGTGAATTTTATGCTCATTCGGAAGGACGTTCCTACGGCAACTTCTCACGTTCGGAGCAAGCACAAAGATCTGATCGCACAGAACGTGTAGAGAGAGTCGAGCGTGTAGTTAAGCGCGGCAATACTTCTTCCTTTACCCTGGGAGACGGTGGAACCAGCTACAAGCGTGAGTTTACTTCTCACGTGCATGGCGTATGTCCTGCTACTCTCGTCGAACAGCAGGGTACACCATTCAAGCACACCCGTGATACACGAGAACACAAATTCTACTCATCAAAAACAACCCAATCCTAATACAGCGAGGTAAAACACAAGAGTGACCTATATTATCATTCCTAAAGCTTTTTAAATAAAGATATATTAAAGTAATCGAAATAACATAGTACACATTATTTATATGCCAGCTATTATATAATAACTATAACACTGCTAGTCGTTAAAAATTAACGTGCCTTCTTCTCTGAGATGCCTACTTGTAAAACAACCTAAGTATAATTTTATTAACACATTATTTTGTCAAAAATTGCCATGAATAAATTTTTATATTATACATACCCTTGTTCTATTTATTTTTATGTCCCGAAACTAATTTATTTATTGATATTGAAAAATCGACCACGAACCGGAAGGCGTTCAGTGGGACGGCCCCCTACTAGATAGACGGCTGACCTACCGATGGATGCACGTCGCGTCCGATCGGCTGGTTTGGAAATCTTTGGGGTTGGCCTATGTTCAACAGTGGACGTCTTCCGACTGATATGATGATGATGATGATTGAAAAATCTGTTCAATAGCTAGCAAAAAGGAAGGAACGATCAATGTTGATAATTATACACTCTTACCTGCATCTGCCTACCTTACCTATTTCTGCCGCCACGCCAGTAATGTCAGCATCACTGCGTTTCGAAGGGTTAAAGGTGCTGGTGAAATTACAGGCATATGGGACTTGTTATGTCTCAGGGTGAGGGGCGCAGTGGTAGTGCCCCTCAGATTTTTGCAATTTAAAGGTCTGAATGGCACTGTAACTGTTATGGACAGGCGTGTAGCTTACCATCAGGCGCACGACTTGTTCGTCCCGTCACTTGATGTTATAAAAAAAAACTAATTTAAAAAAAAACAGGCACATAAGCAAATAAACTGGGCTTGCACACCGGTTTTCAATGTGTCGCCATCGCTGTGGGTCCGGGTTCGATCCCCGGTCGGGTATTGATCTTCATTGGAAGAAAATCTGTTCTATATTGTCGCGGATCTGGATGTTTGTGACAAAAAAAAAAAAAAAAAAAAAAAAGTGCTTTAATAACGTACTTACTCTAAGATCGAAGCCACGTATGTATTATTAATTTGATTATTTAAGTAACTAGTATCCTCAGAATCTTATGAATGAGTATGCGGAAAGTAATATCAGCAAATTATTTCAACAAATTACGTCAATGAATGTCAGTTAAGTAAAAGAAAAATTAAAACAAAGGTCGAAACATTAAGAAAAATTAATTTGATCTGACTGTATTCGAACCAGCACCCTCATGCAATCCGTGCCAGATGCTCTGCCAATTAAGCCAAGGAACGAACCAGCAACATTACGATTGTTTTCTATGTGCTTGTTGCAGACCTTTGGTTTTGGTTTTTAACTACTTTTTTGCCGTAGTGGCCTCTGTGAGAAATTTATTTGTTCATATTAATTTATGGGAGTAATTTCAGAAAAAATAATTGAATTAGATGGTAGTAAAACATCGTGACATTCTATAAACTTAAAAATATTTTTTTAATACAGTTGCTAAAAACGTGGTATTTTTAGTACTTCAAATCGTGCCGAAAGTTGGATTTTTCGCACTAGGGCTTTATACTTTCCATTTTTTTAATTTACTGTTGTTTCAAGTCTTAAACATAGAACTAAAGAGGTTGTATATTTATTTAAAATGAAATCCTTTGTGACGTAAGTCATTCGTCATTAAAACTTATATTTACTTACAAACATCTTATTTGTTTAAATTGCATAGGTGTTTCATAAAATAACGGGTTACATTTAAAAATACCAAAATATTTTCCATAAAGATGGCTGATTGAGTATTAACAATGACCGGAGGTGAGAAGTACGCAAGACCCCTGCGCGCCGCGCCACTAAATTAGTAATTTTAATGTGGCTGAATACTGGCAACAGTTGCCATTGTACTCTGAATTTTTATGAGACAAAGAAATAAAATGAGTTTTTTTTAAATACTGTTTTATTTTACTTTCAATGTAGTTTTTTCGCAAATGTATTAAAAACATCGTTTGATACACGTGCGGATTTGTCATTTTCACTTGTCTCGAGTCTTGGACTCTCGCCTCTGGCTCGGGCCGAGAAGCCTCGTGACTCGTGAATAATGACTAACTTTCCGCACTTGTTTCATAAATAACTATTATTTTCCTTAAAAAATGTAAAGGAAAATGATAACAATTTATTAGTGATGAGTGTGACCTCCTCTCTTTAATCTCAGCGTGTATGTCCGCTACAAGCTGTTGCGTTGATTCTTCTGGACAGGGTTTCGAGGATATTCCTTATGGCTTCATGTGGATAAGTGTCTACTCCACGGCGATGACATTCCTTAGCACACTAATGTTTTGTGATGCTGCCTGCACTGATTTTATTCATCTCTTCAGAACGTCTTAGGTATGCTCTATTGGATTCAGGTTGGGATTTCGGTCTGAGCATTTCATACGCGCTTGCGCATGTCCAGAACGGCGGAACTCTCTGACTCTGTCTAATTTAAGAACGTGGGGCACGTGCGAGTCTCGGACACGGCTTGCACCCGGCACGGTCTAACGTGAATATGAATATGCAGCACGTCTGAGGCTCGGATGACTCGGACACGACTCGCATCTTTATGCTCACTGAGAAACATTGGCAGCAAGAAACCTCCTCCTGATCTCAAAATTCTTCAAGATTTTTCATGAAGTTTTGCGATTTCTCAACGCTCGGCTTACCAAGAAGCGGTCATCCTGTGGCTCAATGCACGATTTTGTTTCAGAACCTGTCCTTCTATTGACGGAACTGATCCCTTGATAACGTTGCCATGTTTTGTGAACTGTCGAACGGCGCACATTCAGCGTCTGGGACATATAACATTGAGAGCAGTTTTTGTTTCTCTTTTATGAATATAATTACAACTTCCTCGTTACCAAGTCGCGTATAGAATATAGTCTGAGAATCAGCAAGGTCGACCTCAATCACATCGCTGAATTCAATAACAAAATCAATAATGAATGGCCGGATTGGCACTACATCTACACAGACGCCTCAAAGCATACGGTCAACTCTTGTGTTGGCGTCATTCAAAAAGTTAAATTACCCCCAAAGTCTTCGCCTGTGTAGACCGAAGTCTACACAGGTGAATGCTTTGGCATACTGAAAGCCATTGAATATGTGATTTATAATGAGACTGTCAAAAGCAATAATATTCAGCTATTCACGCAGCGCTCGACAGGCGCTAACGCGGTTTCCCTTTCAAAGCCATAAACAAGTGCCTGTTATTTTTGAAACCAGAAATCTCCTCTCCCAATGCTCGTCGAAGGCCTACGCCGTCGCTCTTGCCTAGATTCCGAATCATGCGGGTAATGAGAAAACTGAAAGGCTGGCAAACGAAGCTGACGGGGCGGGTACATCCACCCTTATGCGAACTATAGCCATAACCTGGTAAACCTACCGAAGCGATATCTATTCGAGGCATGGAATAGACGCTGGATGGCAGATACCTCCAAAGGGAAGCACTACCGCTGGATTAAGAGTTTATCCCTCGCAAGCCATGGTTCAGCAGTTCGACGTTATCCATAGATTTAGGGTACCTATATACTAAATCTATGAGTTTATCATATTTATGCAACGAAACAAAAATGTTTATAATGTACTGGCCTCATTTATCGAAAACAATAATATCAAGCTCACGGATGAATGTGGTCTGTGACCAAGCTTTAATCATACAATGATTTATAACGCTAGTTACACCGTTTTGCCGTAATCTTCAATGAAAATGCAGTGAAAATTTTTACGTGACCATAATTTATTAACGTACCCATTCACAAATTAAAACTTATAAACAATTCTAAAACAATGTAAAATAACCATAAACTAAGTTGATACCAATAAGTCTCTAAATGCTTAGAAGTTATAAAAATCATGCGAAAGCGTTACTATCAGAAAAGATAACAGCATTCAGACAACAAAAGACGCGTCTTGATTTGGAGGTTGTTTGACACGTCTTATTCTTTTGTATCGAGTAAGTTCTCCTTCGTAGTTACTAGGTAGAGAGCCAAATGCATCATTTTCTTGGTAGTTTGCAACGGCAGCAGCGACAAGATGTTCTGAAGCCGTCTGTATTTCATCATCCATCAACAATGTGGAGCGAATGAGACGGTTAAATTTTGGTTCTGTATCATCAACATGTTCATTGGCTTTAGACTCTTCTTCTGAACGTTTATTTCTGGAAGCACTGTTGTACATTAGATTATCATCGACTCCTTCTACGCCAGAAATTACACCATCTGTATCTGAACCGAGGCTCATCGTATCACTCTCCAATTTTTCGATTTGCAAATTTTTTGAATGGATCACATCGTTACTTTTACCATATTTAGAATTAGGTTTGAGGCGCTTCGACGAACCAATATCAACAGGTGATTCTTCTTGCACTTTAGCCTTTAAGTTACTCTTGGCTAAGTTTGAAGTGCGATCAAAAAACCCATCATCATCGAATTCATTGCCCTCGTCATTATCTTCATCGTCATTTTCAGCTCTATACGGAAAATAAGCTACATTTGCTTCAGGTGACAGAGCGGCGGCCCTCTTTTTCATAGCTAACTCCGTATTTCGCCTTTTCACTCTAACCAAAGGTGCCAACATTGTACCAGCGTAAAGATCCGTATCATCGTAAACATTGGAATTCGGGAAAGATTCTTCTAAGGATTTCATTGATTCTGAAAGGTCTACAGCTTCTCGTTTCATAGAGTTTCCGTTGGTATTATGTAACTGAGAATCATCATCAATTATTTCAGAAAATTCGTCGTCTTGGGGACACATATTATAACCTTCTTCATTTGATAACTCTTGATCTTCGAAATTATTGTCAAGTAGTTTGCCTTCGTTAAAGGACATATCATTGTCACTTAAGTCACCAAGTTTAGCCTCTCTTTTAATTTCTGTTTTTACTGATGATTGATCATCTATGTTGACTTTATCTTTGTTACATTCTACAAGAGTTGCATCACTTTTGGATTTATCCTGTTTCAGATCATCAACATGTTCTCTTAACTCCACTTTATTATCTGGAGTCATAAAATTATTACTTGAGCTGGAATATTTGGTCACAGATTCCGTCACTCCTGTTGTTTCAGTTTGTTTACTATATTGTGTTGATTCTGTGCTTTGTTGACTATAACCAATACCATCTTCAGACGAACTGCCTTCCTGAAGTTTACTAACCTCCACCTGTATACCCTCCAAAAAACTGTTATCATCAGAGGCAGCGGCCCCAGCTTTTTTGGTAATTTCTCTCTTATTTATATTGTCAACAGTAACATCTACATCGTCACTTATAATTTTTTTCAACAATTCTCTTTTATCGTCAGAAAGTAAAGCTAATAATTCTTCCAATTCTTTAGAAGATAATTTCTTTACATGCCTTTTGATTGCTGCCTCTTCATTTTCAGTAGATGGGCTTAAAAGCTGCTCGTTCTCATTTGCGTCATTGGTGTCTATTATTGCATTGTCGCCATCCTTGGATTTGCTATCTATTTCTCGTCGGTCCCTATTAACGTTATACTGATTTTCGTAGGATTTGTCAGGCATATTCCCTCGATGTTCAGCTTGCATATTATTGTAATAATGTTTGAAATAGCGTTCTTGTTCACTAGGTTCTACAGGGTCATTATTATTATATCCACTTCTATCTTTTCCTTGTGGTCCAACATTATTTTCGTTATTATCAAATAACAAATCACCACCTTCAGGAGATGAGTTTGTGATATCAGAAATCTTTCTATTCGTTAGGATTTTTCCGCGTTCGTCGTTTCGGTCGGATTTTACAGATTTGGCTTCTCGGTTTGTCAAGAGCTGTGAATCCATGTCTAGCTGATCGTTGGTTTCCATATACTTGTTAGCATGGCGTTGTTTCCCACGGGCGATTGAATTTAAAGGTTTTGAGAGTAGGGTGTCATCGTTCAGGTCTTCCTTGACTATTTTATTCTGAATTCCAGCTTTAATTAAACCAGGTACCTGAAAATGTAAATAAATAAAAGTGAAAAATAATACACTAACTAAAAAAATGTGAGCATTGACAATCCTGTCACCTCTGCAAATTTGAAAGAAATGTACGGTACACAGAAGACGCAGCGTTTCAGTGAAGATGGTAGCAAATTTACAATGAAAAAAAAAGGAAAATGTATCTGAGGCCACGGACATGCTCTTGTCTACTTGGTACTTGGTGCAACGGGCTGGTATCCGCAACTCGACGACAAAGCGCCTATTTTGCCTATGTTCTTGTCTAAACGGTACATACTTTTCTTGAACCAACTCTGGGCACATTAGTTTCCAATACCTTTGTATGGATTTATTTATTATGTACAACTTACAGTACTTATGGATTTATGTACTTATGAATAGACCTGATTTTTCTGTCGTTAGGAATAGGTATACCCCTAAGACTACCGTTTGTAATATTGTAACCGTACTGATGACCAAAAATCTAACGTACTTCTATTAAATAAAAATATCGAGTAATTTAGGTAGGTACTTTATATTGCTCAATTTTAGAAAAACTTATTGGAAGTTGATTACTCACAAACCTTATGTACGTCACCCGAGTGGAATAAATAAATTTATATTTTTTTGTAACTCATTAAAAGCAACACAACGAAACCTTCATGCAGGAGATTTACAAAATTCTTCGGGAACGTGTCATATCTCGGAATAGACTTGTTTGACTAAATTTCTACATCGGGGCGCTATTTCGGGGTCTCTATTCCGATTCCTCGTTATGACTAACTGAGCATATAATACATCATCTATCTACCTTTGATACGTTGGATCTGATAAGTGTAAATTAAATATGTTTCGAAAATGTAAAATGTGATATACAAAAGAAATGAAATCCCATCGAAATCATGAAATATGGAAAAATGAAGATAGACCATGATTAATTGGTAATATTTGCATGCGATTTGTAACAATACTGCGCAATATGGCGGCATGGACAGAATCGGTTGCCTGCCAGACGACGAGGCTGAGCGCGCTATTAGTTGGAAGCATCGGACCAAATGCGCATTGATGCACGCCTGTCGTAAATTATATATTTAAGTATCCTATGTAAACTGTACCCCTGAAATATATAAATGAAATTAAGTCTTTACACTATATCTAGGTCTCATCGGTTGATCATCCTCAGTTTCCTCTTGATCTTCTTCGGCGTCTTCACCACCTTCTTCTTCGACGGCTTGTGGTGATTCGACGTCAGATCTCATTAAGTCACCTACTTGCTTCACATTTGCCTGATCTCTTTGATTTTCAACCACTTCAGATTCTTGCGCATCCGCCGTTGGTTTCTGCCAAAATGATTTAAAATTAAAATTGTGTCTAATATCTACAGTGGATGCAGTATCTCCTCCAATCGTTTAATTTGTTGGTGATAGGTCACATACACGAGACTCATTATTTTCACGTCTAAGTTCAGCATCCTTCCCTTCGTTGTTAGTTTCGTAATCTTCTTCGGCATCACTGAAAAATTTAAAACATATATTTTTTCTTTATCACCGCGAGTGTTTGCGTACTACGTCCGATTCGTATCAGGCCCTGTACACTCGTTCTTTATCCGACATCCGTGTGGAACAATTACTTGGCAATGAAGTTAATCGTTTTTTAATTTGGTCGAGTATCATTTATTTGACAGTAATTGTTTTGGACAGACGTCGGACAGAGAACGAAAGTAGACCCCCAGTTCCGAATCCGAAAAAATGTGGGTCGGAAATGTCATAGGGACAATTTGATCTCTAGGTACACAAACGATATTAGTATTTTCTCGACTTCGAATCGGACTAGTGCACAAGCGACATCCGAAGTGGGTCCGAGTTTTTTAGATTGATATAGTCTCGGATTCGGAACGAATACGAATCGGATACAGTGCGCAAGCAATTTAAAAAGAAAGCTGATAAATAGTGACACCTGAGGCGGACCAGAAAAGTCTGTAAAGAGGATACGTACGGGTGAGTATTGGCGAGTGGATTGTATAAGTGTATGCACTATGATGGAAACACGTTATATGCAGATTAAAACACGTTTAATTTGAAATATTGAATATAACCGAACAAAGCAGCGCAGCGGAAGCAACTGCCAAAATTTTGCTAAACAAAAACAGTCGAACGTCCACTACGAGGACCACTCCGTCGGGGCCTCGGTAGGTTTTTATGACCCTCGAGAGAGTGACATCAGCGATGAGCACCACACCACCCTCGCCTAATGTTGGTGTATCGTTCCCCGGTCCTCTTGGTCGAAGAGTTGGCAGGTATTCACGCAGCCAGCGTGCCCAAAAATGATCAGCAAGACGTAGTACCCTTCGCCAGTCACATCTCCGCGACAGATCCATGCAGCGCAGGTCCATGGGCCGACCGATGAGTATGAAATGAAAGGGCGTCAAAGCTGTGTGGTGCATCAGGTGAAGAAGAAATGTACGTGAGCGGCCTGGAGTTGACTATTACTTCCGCCTCCAGTAAGAGCGTCAACAGTTCATCTTCTTTAATGGATTTATCATTGAGGATTTTAGGGCTGTTTTCACTGTTCGCACTAATCTTTCCCATGAAAGGGGAGGCAGGTGGGGGCGCCATTCAATACTATAGTTTGTGGGGTATTCCTCCACTGACTCATCATGCAAGGAACGTAGTAGCACCGACGAAGTTAGTTCCGTTGTCCGAAAATATGGTAGACGGGGACCCGCGGCGGGCAATGAAGCGCCTTAGACTCATGATCGCAGCGTCTGAGGATAGCGGATTAACCATTTCAAGGTGTAGAGCTCTCGTTACTAGAAACGTGTAAAGGGCAACGTAGCGCTTCTCTTGATGTCGACATACTCTTATTGTCAGTGGGCCAAAGTAATCTATGCCGACGTGAGTAAATGGCATTTCGTGATGGTCAAGTCGCTCGGCAGGTAAGTCGCCGATCTGTGGCTTAATTACTGGCCCATCCACTTACGACACTGCAAACACGCTTTTGCTACGCGTCCGGTAGTGCTCCTTGACGACTGTACAAGTGTATGCACTGTGATGGAAACACCTTATATGCAGATTAACACGTTAACACGTGAGATTAACACGTGATAAACACGTTTCATTTGAAATATTGAATATGAATGAAACCGAACAAGGCAGCGATGTAAAGGTGTTGTTGGCGACCAGCTATGACGCAGCCTCCTTCGGTTTTGTAATTCTTTTTTTAATTTACATTCGATTTATAGCATACTTTTTGACTGTATTTGTTTAGCAAAATTTTGGCAGTTGGTTCCGCTGCGCTGCCTTGTGGATGTTTCCATCATAGTACTTACACTTATAAAGTCCAGTCGCCAATATATTGGACTAGCGATATTTGTATTTTCTCGGATTGGAATCGAACTTAGAGCACAAGCGACATCCGAAATGGGTCCAAGTTTTCTAAATTGGTATAGTCTCGGATTCGGAACGAATACGAATCGGATGCCGTACGCAAGCAGTTTAAAAGGAAAGATGACGAATAGTGACAACGGAGGTGGACCAGAAAGTCTGTAAAGGTATAGGATAAGTACGTGGGCGGCCCTTCTCTGTCCGAAACAAATAATTACTGTCCAATATGTAATACCAAATTAAAAGACGCATGATGCGAATGAAGCTTCATATTTGACATCGTCTTTGGTCGAGTATTACCTATTGTTTCGGACGGAGCACGACACTAGACCGAGGTTCAGTTGGTCGTGGTCGAAAGAAATATTCTATAGATAGGTACTTACTTATTCTCTATCTTCGCTGGTCTACTTATGGCTCTTATAACACAACAGAACAATATTAACACCATCGTAGTGCGCATTTCGAACAATTACACCAATGTCGCGTAAAAAAAATTGTCACCTATTTGACATTCGCGCGATTTTTGATTGCCTTTTGTTCTGTTTTGGCACAGATTTCTTTCATGCCTGTATTTTTTGATCAAGTTACTTTTAGCGATAATTGTGTCTAAATAACATGATTGCTTCAGTCGATTTTAGGAGAACGAACATTTCAATATAACAATATCCTTAGAATAATAACGCATAGAAACCTAATCCGCACACGCTAAGTGAGGCAAATTGTAGAGACCCAAATAGGCTTACACGAGCGGGCAGCCGTCAGTACTCAAGGTCAACTTGCACCGCGAACAGCTCAAGAATTATAGCTAAAAGTGACGAAATGTGCGGTAAATTGGGTGTAAAAATACATGAGACAAACATAAAATAGATACTAACATCACAATACATAAGTAAATAGCGCGTTTCAACTTATACTTTTATATAAATATTCATTAATTAATTTATTTACAGAAAATTAATTTCGTTGCAACAAGATACGAAAATGTTGCAAAGTAACGATTTTTTCTGCTCATTTTGCTATTCTGTTCAAAATAACTATTACATCGATGCGACAACATTGTAGGGAATTAACATTAGCTATTTTTACGGACTATAATTTAGTACTTGCCTTCATTGGTTTGATGTGAAACTCATTATTCTTGTTCATCATACAGCACTCATTTTAAAAAATTGTCTTGCCCAGACTCAAAAGTTCTTTAACTTATTTCAGGGAACTAACACTGGCTAAAAAAGTCATCGTCAGTTCTCCAAAGTCGTCTATAACTATAACTTTCGAGCTCAGGTTCTTTACTGTTATCGTATAGTTTTCATATTTTTATCCACGGATAATATCAGGCTATTTATACATATATCCAAATTTTCATGAACTAAAGTCAAATTCGATAGTCGCATTCAAACTGGCTTTTAGGTTTTTGTTCATATGTGAATTAAATAAAAATTGTATTTACTAACTTAATGATGACTAAAGCAAGAGACAATTTCCCCACTTTTGAGGGAAATGTTATTCCATGGCATCATTATTTCAATATTTGTGTGCGCGCCGACGAGCGTAAATACAAGTTGCTTACGCCTGCATGATTTTTTTTTGCCTTGTGAAAATTCGGCTGATATGAAACTATCATTCTATGCACTATTATTCTAAGGGTCGTATTCCAGAATTCTACTCAATGCTCAAGTCAGGACTTAGTATGACTTCAAGGACTGGAAATACGACCCTAATGGCAAGGACTTGAGTATGATTTTCAGTGCTCACTGCAATACTCAAGTCCTAACTTGAGTATTGAGTACAGTTCTAGAATACGACCCTAAGAGTCGTATTCTAGAACTCTTGCACTGGAAACACAAGCACTGGAAATACAACTCTAGTGGCACGGACTTGAGTATGATTGCGAGTGGTTTAAACCATACTCAAATCCTCACTTGAGCATTGAGTAGAGTTCTAGAATACGACCCTTAGACTATATCAATGATCTTATCTAAGATACTTAAAAAGGCAGATGTGCTACTAGCGTCCGCGTCGTGAAGATTCGAAAATTAGACATTTTCAAGTTTTACTTATTACCTACCATTCGGAATGTTCACTCTGTTGATATCGTTGAACAAAATCGCAATGTTTATCATCTATGTTGACGTTTTTATAGGAAAAAAAGTTTTTATAGGTTGTGCGAAAGGTTTCAGAACTCGGTTATTAACGTAAACATCTTCATAATCTTGCGTATAAAATCACTGAACCGTGTACCACAAAATACTTTGTAATATACATAGGTATCGATGTAAGTAGGTACTTTATACCTTTTGGTAATGTAGAATACAAAATCAGAGAGCGTAAACTATCTTTAACAATGGACGAGTAAATAAAGACCATGTTCAATTATCTAAGCAAAAGCAATAGTCCGTTCGAAATAAAAAGTCAAAAATACTTACAACAATTTTATTTTAAATGAGACCGTTTCATCTCTATCACACTTATTATGTACATTTGGTTTAAATAAAACAAACCATTGAAACATTTATCTGCAAAATCTTCAATAAGTTTGTGCATATTGGAGAAAAAACATTTTATTTTCTACATTCAAATGTCATACAAATTGATCAAATATATTTTAAGAAGTTGTAGAAATACTCGATCACACGATTTGGTGTCTCGTTGCTTCCAAGGGCATTGAAAGCTTCATAACTGCACATACACTATATATCCTACTCTATTCGTAACACTAACTCCAAAATGCAAAAGGTAAAAATTCCAACAGATTTTATAAACACGTATTTAGCCTGATACACTGGCAATAGAAAGAAACATTCAATTGACTTCAGAGCAAAAAATTAAGGAATCTTTGGATGACATAAACGATATTTCAATCACTCGATCCCAACAGTCCATTGCCAATATATCACGGGCTCAACAGAACTTTACAATTTCATAATTTGGCATAAATTCAATAAATTCAAAAACAAAAGTAACAATTGGTAAAAGTATAATCGACCACACCGAATAGTTAATTTCAACATATAAACACCGTATTGCACCTGATTCGATCGAATCTAACCCAACTTTACCTCGTAACGTCTGCATTTGGCAGATACTAGCTTATTATAACATGTACATAATGTATCTAACTTTAGAAAAAACTATGAAAATCTTTAAGAAAAAAGAAACTTACTTAACATCAGATTAGGCTTCTCTATGAATTATGTTGTGCTTTTTTCCTTTATCACATTTATCGTACAACAACTATTTATACAATTACAATACCTGTCATACAGTACATACTTTAGGGAACTTGAAAGTAAACTTTGAACCGTTAACAATTAATACAGATAATCATTTTTGTACGTTATGCTCAGCGGAAACAGAGTACAACTTCAAATACTTAATATGACACAACACTTTGGTTCGGTTTCTTATACACTCAAAATATAAAATTCACTCAGGCATACTCCTCGTTCTTGTAGATTGGGGGGGGGGGGGGGGGGTAGGCACATAATGTTAATTTTCGAACTTGTTGCTTTTAAGAAAGTGTACTAACATATTCCACTTCGGACTACAAGAAGTGTTGTTTCTTTGCATGTAGTCCGTTCACAAAGCAATGACATTCACACGTCTTTAGAAATTTTGCTTGAAGTGTGTAGTTAGTATAAGTAATCGCAATGGTCGACAACAGTAGATCTGGTGTTGTTGTCGAGCAGTGCACAGAAACCACACTACAATTCGTATGCGGGTATTTTGGTGAATATTCAAAGGGGATGGACTCGATCAGCGCCTCATCTGATTTGCTTAACAATTAGTTGTTGTACTTTGTCTTCAACGAGCAAGCTTTAGCTTGTCTTTCTTAATTTTACATAAATGACCAATAACGTAAGACTTTTGCATTGCAAAACAATTAATACATTTCCAATACATACATAGCGTCCTTGCATTTGTGGTCAAGCTTAACATGCAACCTGTCACGTGAATGTAATTTTCATGAATTGTCAAATTATTGCACATGGTAACAGTGCATCAAATAATCTATTATAGGTAAAATGAAATTTCATTTTCTGTTATTCAGTTACAAGAATACTCTAAAAATTATGTCGGTCGTGCACAATAATGTCATATACGTTATACTGTTGAAAGATGCGTTAAATATACCAAAACCCGACCACGACATATTATTAACACTTGTTTGGGATAACGACAATTAAACGATTTCGTATTAGTAAAGCCTGCCATGCAATTTAAGAGCAGTCAGAAATAACGCGTAAAAGCATTACCCTTTTACTTTCTACCTGCAGTCGGTTAAATGCGACGGATTGCTAAAGCGAATCCATCCACGAAAAAACACATGATTGTAAAGGCCGACAAGTAACATTTGGACTCTTGAGAATAGTGGCATTAGTGTTATATTTTTTAATGTTCGAAATATAACTTGTCAGGTTTTATGATACCATGATTTTTGACAGCACATAGATAGTAAAAGACACGTGACAATAGGCCCTGTTATAGCACAAAAACCTATCGTAACCAAGATTTAATGCATGTCAATCGAAAATTGTGGAATGGAATGGCAACCAATTCGTCGGGTCACTTTTCAGTCCTCACGTACTATAATTTTATCAACCAGGGTTCGTTATGTGTAGTTCTAAACTCAAAATTAAGTTCAGACTGCGTAAACATCAATTGACGCCAGAGTCGGATATTGAAAATTGTTTCTTTTTATTTAAAACAAAAATTGTTATTCAATATTTACCTAAATTCGTAAAACAAAAACATTTCATTCAACCCCTATTAGTTACACATCGGATTTTAAAACAATAAAACCCGACTCTTTCTTTAGGGCGCCTTCAAATTAGACGTTTATAAAAGCGCTGCAGTGGCGACACTGTGGCGCTGCAGTCGCGCCACTACTAATTTTTTTATTGTTTGTACAGACTAAATACTGTATGAAAATTAGTAGTAGTGCGGCTGCCACAGATGCACCACTGTAGCGCTTCTACATGTGTCTAATTTGATGGAGCTCTTAGATGTAATTTCCGCAAGTTCATTGTGTATTGACAAACTGTGCGGTCTTAATAGAAGTCTCCGCGGCTTCCAGTGCTAGCTGTAACATTTGCAAATTGCAAAAGGCCTTTAGAGAGGTTTGAGGTCGGCGTATTACATTTATGTACGGTGGTATTGTATGGTGCAGTAAAACGTAATATATTAAAAAATCACATTACGAGGAGTACGTGAAAAAAGAAGTACGTCTATTTCATTTGAAAACACTGACAAACACGTTGACTAGACTCTTAAAACATAAAATGAGCATTTACATAAACAAAACAAAAAAGAAACACGACCTACTCTGATTGTTGCACTCGCAATATTGAACATTTTATTGTACAACTTAAACAACTATAACCCTATAAAGATTTTTTTGTACCTACTCCCTCTTATTACTTTTTAATTTTGATCATAGACATAGGAAACTACGGTAGAGATTTATAAAACGTACTTTGACTTGGACTAAGCAAAATTGACTGTGAATGAAATGAATTTTTCGTATTATGAAACGGACTTAACTTTGAGTTTGACTTAGTAATGTCTGGCTTAAATTCAGGTAAAGTTCCTTTTGTAACTACAAAAAGTTTGCTTAAGTCGCCATTTTGCGTAGTCGAAGTCAAAGTTCGTTTTGTAAGTCTCTGCTTAAGTTTTTATTACAAGTCGCAAACGTATGCGAAAATTTATGACGAAATAGATTTTTATTTTATTTGACAAGGTTTAGAAATATCGGAAAACAATCAACATTTCTATCATGTCTTACTTAAGTAAAAGACTAACAGCCCTTTGTGACCCAATTGATATGCAATTCATCTTTAATGTAGATTCTAATAGAAAACAACAGTTCGAAATACGTAAACAGAGGGACAATAAATTGAACATTGCGAGTGCAAATTTTAATATAAAAACTAAACATTATTTTAAACTTAAAAACGAACTACTTAAAGTTTAACTTCAGATAGACGTAAAATACATGAAAATGCACTTTTTTTGCTGATTCGGTATCGAGTATTTATCGCAAACACTGTACCAAGGACTTTCATTATTTATAGCGTACAAACCATAGTTATGCTATATTAATTGCGGTACATAAAATATACATAACATTAAATAAATATTATATTGCACATGTAGAACTATGATGGATTGATAAATCTCAATTATTGTAGACATTTCTCTACTTTTCCAAAGTTCCATCATACAGTAAAAATTATAATACATTTTTATATATATTATATATTTTTATAAACTGATTTGTAGAAAGAAATACGGCTCGCAACCACACAACGTCGTACGTACATACACAGATATGTTTGCGACAAAAGCTTATTAAAACTCCAATAACAACTTCTTTCTTATGTACAACGATCTAAAACGGTTATTCTAAAAAATTACAATATACAGGAATTGGGGCATAATGTCATGCTAAATAACATGTGAGAAGCTCGTGCGAATTATATGAACGTCAAGGGATTAAAGCTAAGACAAATGGCTAGTCGTACATATTTCGTTCGGATAGATGATATTCAGTCAACGCTTGAGCAATCGCTGAATGAGATATTGAAAAACGACAAAGAGAAACACCGAGTGCTTATTATAACGAACAGAGGCGCGCTGTTATCTTAGCATGCAACATTAGCGGTTTAAATGCAATTTCAATAAAAGTGAACACTTTCAAGTTTTATTTATATATAAAGAAACGACCACACAGGTCCCAAGTAGAATTTATTAAAGAAAATGTCTCCATTAAATCCGAATTAAATTCCCTAATGATATTCGAGTAAATATTCACAATACTTATTAAAAATAATCACTTCATTCTGTACAATCGTCGATAAATTGATCGATTATCGTTTAAAAAATCTATATCTATAACGTACCTATCCCTCCGAATTAGAAACATGAGTAAAACTTTTTAAAACCACAATGAACACTTGCACTCTTGACAGTTAGCCTACCATTTGTAGGTGCGTGTCTGACCACTCGACACTCGGCCACAGGTGGGAATGTTAGGGCCGTCTGTTGCACCTAGCTTCTAGCCGTACTTACACAACTACATGCTACACCGAGTCCTACGTTCACTAACTCAGACTTGAAATGATAGAAATTGTCATGAAGTATAGGGAGTCTTGCGTCGCGACTCGCGCACTCGGCTTTATTCACGCTTTCACACGATTCGTATTAGACTAAATAATTTCATACTTTAATAATTAAATATGCTTATAGCTTGTTTTTAAATAAAAAAACATTACTTTTTTAGTTTACAACACAAGGTTAACTCTAGATAGACTGTGATGCGAATGATACCAGATCTCCGCTATTGGACCATTATTGTACAGTATTCAAAGTGAAATATCCAATTTATTATAAAATAAAAAGTAACTAATATTCAACCTAACACGAATCTCACATAGAAAAATAATAAAAGACAGTTTTGCCTTACAACATTTCGAATAGGGAATCATACAGTAGGAATGCGAATCGGATAACGGCGCCACGGATAATATTTTTCAAAGTTCTGACTTAACATGAGTCTTACACATGTTCGGCTTAAATTCTAACACATTGTTTTGATAAATCTAAACCAAGCATTGGTAAGGTCATGCAATAAAACTAGTGTTGTATGAAATTGATACGTATAAAACAAATCGAATGTTGGTTTTATTACAAAATCAGTTTTTTTAATCATTAAAAACCATCAATGTTTAGACAACACCAGCAGTCAGTAAAGCAGATTGTGACTCCCGACAGTTGATCGTGGCTTTAAATTTTTATAAGTTTACTGCGAGAATCACGTGTTGCGTCGCGACTGGTTGATATATAAAGCAGATTGGTGAAATATATTGACCAATTAGCAGAGACACTTTCCTTGGATGGATAAGTGTGGGATAAAGAGCCAGAACCCAGGTGATCCAATCGCGCCAATACAACGTTTACATTTTCAAAGTACAATCTTGACAATATTTAGTTTCGTCAAATTATGTCTTTTAACAATTAGTAAATAAGAAATTGAAATAATCAATAGTTGCTTGACAAAAGTGCAATTGTAATTGCGCCTTTGTCAAGCCACATTACCGAGACATTACTTAAAAACATATCATAGTGGGCCATTTGTTTTGACGAAAAATATTTTCAGGGATAAGAAACATTGAGTGCTATCTGTCACTCTTAAAAGAACACTGTCAATGTATAGAAAATATTCAATAGAGATCACTATTTTAACAATAGATTATAGCGTATTATGTTAACCACAGATTATAGCTTAATCACTTCCGACGCGGCTTTTCCATGGTATTCGGAACGTGGGAAAACAACTCTCTTGAGCACACGAGTTTGTTTGTACAGTGTGAATAATTTAGTCGATAACTAGCGACTTTTTTGTAAGTAAAGCTCTCCTAGTGATCACTAGAAGAACTAATTTTGTCAACAGAGCATTCCTCGTGGCCTGCGGTCCAACAGAATGCTGATTTACTGAAAGTCAAGCTATAGCTACGTTTTTAATGTAGCTCCCACTGAGCGCGATTGGACAGAATACCTGGTCATTAGAGCGGGACAGGGCGAATCGCGTGACACGGTACTACAAGCGGTCCAATCGGAATTCATGTTCGACAGACGAGTCTGGTAATAATGCGCTCGGTTCTTCCAGTAGTGTGAGGTCGTCGAGGTCTAGACCGGCTCGCAATTGACTTACTTCCTCGCCACCGAATATGCCTAGTTCTCTGTCTAGTTCTCCCGAATAATCTGCAACAAGTGATTATTTTCGTGTTATAATTTGATTAATACAGGAAGAGGTCTAACAGTCTACTACTCATAAACTTATTTCATACTATTAATTATGAAATAAAAACTTCATTTTTACTTAAAAACTTAGGGCGCGTTCCCACTATGTCGTGACGACAGATTGTCGTGCAGTTTACAGTGTCGTGGCTTGTATATTTAAATGAAGTTGTTCACATATAGCACGACACGATTAACTGTCGTTCACGATTTTTTATCGTTACAACGACAAACTGTCGTCACTGTGAGAAGAGCTAGAACGACAGTCGTCAGACGATAAAAAAAGTCACGATAAAAACGTGACGACAGATTGTCGCAGCTCCTATTGTCGTCACGTTTTATTTTATACGTCACGTTATATTTTCTTTTCTTTGTTTGCTTCCTCTTCCGCATTTTTATAAAGTAATATATTATTAAAATTTCGTCTTCATCCATATCGAGCGAACACACACTAGCGGCTTCCAAAAGAACATACAAGCAACTGCAGTGCATCAAACGATTCTGTCGTGCAAACGACAAGGAGGCTGTCGTGAAACGATAAATTGTCGTCACGATCTAGTGGGAACAGCTAGTCACGACAGTCGTTCAACGATAAAAAATCGTCCACGACAGATAGTCGTGATATGGGAACAGGCTAGACCCGAAAGTCGTCCAACGATAATAAAACGTGACGACATAGTGGGAACGCGCCCTTAAGCTTACTTAAGCTGATCGTATCTTTAAATGATTATTATATCGCTCCCCTCATGAAAGAATGGCATAAGTGGAGTTACGTCAAACATGTTTATTGCTCCGTAAGGTACTGACAAATATAACCCACATCCTCTCCAATTCTTGTAACTCTCTCTAATATCAGTCGATAGGATATTATATATAGGAGTTCGATTCCCGGTAGGAGAATAGGGTAATATTTTTTTCTAAATTGGTCATGGCCTGTGTGTATCAATAGTAGTTTTCTAATTTGAGACCAGGCGATTAGTGTGGTTATTTGCCACGTAATAGACTGCCGTCAGTCTCGTTCCTACAGTACCCGAAGTATGTATATATAGTTTTCATGAAATTTCGTAATTCGTGCTTTCGATTTTTATTAAAATTTTTAGGAACAATTTGTATTTATTTTTAGTCAATTTCATAGTACTTATATAAATAGTTTTTGTTGACATAGTGGTCCTCAAAATAAATGACTTTTAAGAAAATGTATATGGCAGTCAGAACGTTTGAGCGTGAGGGAATGATGGTGAGGGAATGACGAAATCAAAATAAACCAAGAAAAATAGCGATGTAAACTTACTTTTAGACTTAATATTTTATGTAAGCTTACTGCTACCAATAACTCGTCCGAATGAATAATTAATAAACAAAATCAAATGCTTAACTTCTTTTTATATGATATGAGGGAATAACTTTCAAAAATGTAATTTTTAGAATTTTAAGTTAAATCTTTTCATAGTAGAAACTTTTTACACACATAAGTTGAATTTTGTCAGTTTCCAAAAACTTACAAAATGCACTTACCAAATATTAAAACTGTGTTCACAAATCGAGTGAAGGTAAAAGTGTGAGGGAATGATTTTTTTGGTTGGGACATGAATAATAATGGATTTTTGAAATTTATTTTTCGTGTTTTTACCACAGGATAGCTTTAATTTTGCAAAAACATATTTTATTTGATCAAATGATCAAAATGATCAAATTTAACGGTTATTTTTGTTAAATATGTTGATTTAAAGCACGGAACATGTTTGATTATGGAACTTGGGACATAATGAGGGAATGATTTTGGGGACATTGTTATATTATTGTTATTTTATTTAAATCAGACTAATCAATATTGTATGTTCTTTTGCAACATTAATTTATGAACCAAAAGGACAAGAACTTCGAGATTTTGTAAGAATTACCCATAATATATAACATAAACACTGGTTGCTGATGTTAAAACCACCGTTATGTTCAAGTACCTGAACCCTATTAATTTCGAATAATCTTATTAATATACTGTTTTCAGCAGAGCCTAGTGCCATGTGGTTACCATTTGTCCAGGAGAACTACTATGGAATTTTGGAGTAGTTTAGCGATCGTGTGTGTGTACAAGTTTGCAGCTGTACTGTGATTTCAACTCACCTACCAAAGAAGGCGGTTATGCAAAATCATCGACTATATAACCAGAAATAGAGATGAAATAATAATAATAATAAAATGAATATCTAGAACAATAACAATATAGACATGATACGATTATGTTCGATAATAACTACGACTGTATCGCAGCTATTAACGGTCAACTCCGGATAACTAGTGTAATGAGATATTCCATTATATGCAAGTAAACTTATAACAGAATTTATAGATACAAGTAACAAATTATACATTAATAATAACTGTGTTTAGTTGGTTCGCAGGATGCTTTATTGTGCGTGTACGATGTGTGTGCGCATGCTCATGTGTACATGTGCGTGTGTGTGTGTGTGTTTTGTGTGTGTGTGTGTGTGTGTGTGTGTTTGCGTGTGTTTGTGTGTGTGTTAAATTCATTCGTCAATCATTAAATTCATAAATTTAATATTTAATTACCGATGAAATGCGATAACGTTTCTTTTGTAATTAGATGTTTTGCTGTTTTTTTTATTTCTATTATTAATTTAGCGAGGTCTATGATTATTAGTAGTGCTTTATATGTACAGATGTTGAATGTTCAGTTCATACCTGTGAGTATGATATCGGGTATGGAGGCGGGCGTAGCAGGCGTCTGCGGCGCGGAAGGTGAGGCGAGTGGTTGTAGCGTGGGAAATGCGCCACCACCGGGCACAGGATCTCTTGGGCGTTGCCGCGGCTCGAATCCGCTGCTGGTCGTGTTGTTCATACTAGTCATACTGCTCATTGTGCTTGATGCTTGATGGTGTGGTGACTGTGAAATTCAAGAATATTTGACGCTCTTTTATCACGAGTTGAACTTACATGACATAGGTATAGGTAGAAATAGGTAAGGTGGTTGCACTACCTTGGATGAACTCTTTCACAAGCTCTACTGCTACTAAAAACTTTGACTAAGCAAAGATGGCGAGCTACGCATGTTTTTCACATTTACAAAACTTTGCCCAAGTCAAGAAAATACATCAAATTATTAAGTTTATTGAAAGTTACGATGGTGTAACTACTATGATATTCAACTATTTTTATGAAATTACTCCACTAGTTTGTTATAATTATTAATACAAAGATCGAACACTGAGAAAAAATTTCTTCGATCGATGGATTCGAACCAACGTCTTCCAGCAAACCGTGCCAGACGCTATGCCAACTAAGCCATGGAACCAAATAGCGGACCTTACAAATTTTTCTACGTGTTTGTTGCAGATCTTTGTTTTTGGTTTTTAACGACTTTTTTGCCGTAGCGCCATCTGTGAGAAATCTATTTCTTCTCTCAGCCTTTACAATTACCGTATAGATGCCTTGTTTAATAATGAGCCATATAGTGTCATATTTGTGTTTCATTTATGGTGTCTACGTAATACTTGCGAAACGTAACAGACTGCCATGAAATACTACAACCCTCATGGGTTTATTTGCGCCATTTTTATATCTTAATCAATAAATTACTTATAACAGTATCGATAAACTGAATTTATTAACTGTATAAGACGCAGATGCATGTAAGATTACTTTAACAAAGATTTATTTTTAATTTTACATCTTTAGTGAAACAGTACATTTAATGGAAAATAATAATTCTCTTGTAAATGCAGTTGCTTTACGTACGTGCGGTATTTATGCTAACGGTATATGACTAGATGCAATTCCGAGAGAGAGCTGTAGCTAATATCAATAAATTATTAATATTATTATTTTTTTTTTGAATAACGCACACACTCAATGTAGCCCCGCACTAGGGAAACCCTGTGTCGTGGGTGCCATGGTTACGTACATAGACAACCACAAATTACACCCAAACTCGGGGTGTGTTAGTTGTTCCACCTTCACGCGTGCGAAGTTCTTGAGCAGTCTGTGATGACATGTTGTCACAGAATGCCCAAGGATGTAGTCGGTACACCTTGGGGCCAACACTGACAACTCTCGACTTCAGTCTGAGTCTTATCAGTGAGGGCGCGATCAACACGGCCCGGCCATGCATTTATGAGGGTGGATCATGGCAAGTGGTGGGCGGTCTTAACCTACACCCTCCTGCGTTCATGCCTACGCAGTTGAGCGCCGTACGCAGGGATGAAGGAATACTGGGGGGTTGAGCCCGAGCGGGGAGGATGACGTCGGCCCACAGTTTCGGGGAAAACCCGTCTACGGCGACAAGGTCACTTTCCAGTGGCTAGAGGACGCCGTCAGCACCATCAGGCTGCCGTCTGGGGAGCCCCTCTCATTGAAAAATGGGGCGGAGGCTCCCCGGAGGGTGGTCTTCTTGGTGGACTTCTAAATCCCCGGTAAATGGGAGGATGCGCGCCGAATCGGTCGCATCCTCAAGTGGCCAAACAAGTGGGCGGAGGCTCACCGTTGGCTTGTCCACAAGCTGAATCAGCAACGTGGGCATATCTTCGTGGTAGTGAGCCTCCCTGAAGATCTGGTCCCCACTGTCCTGAGGCATGGCCGGCGCTTCACATTTCAGCTGGGCACGGTCTACCTGAGATTCAGGTCGAAAAGGGGCCTCTACACTGACGCGCCTCCAGAAAATATGTCTACAACAACACAGGACACTGGACAAATGGATGTTTCCCCGGAGCCCTCTACCTCCTCTGGTATCACCAGGGAAGGAAAAGGGCCCTCCTCGACCCCCGACCCTGTGGACACCGACGAATGCCCGGCGGTGTCCATTAGCGACGACGAGTGTGTGTTGGCGATGGGAGACATCCGATTGAGCGATGACGAGGACGTGGAGCTGCTGTCTGGTGATGGCGGTATCCCCCTCGCTCAATAAACTGCAAGTCATCCAGAGCAACCTCCACCACAGCCAGGCCGCAACGGTTCAGCTCCGGAAATGGTTGGAGGTAAACAACACAGCCGTGGCGCTGATCCAGGAAACGTGGATCAGTGCCTGCGGCCAAATAAATGGACTCTCACATCTGAGAGGTAAGCTATTATCCACCAATAACTCAGATAAACCACGAACTTGCATCTACTAAATGATTATCACTAGTATCAGATTTCTTACCACGGTATGACTTCTTTTTATTTTCCCGATATTTCGGAACGGTTGCAGGCTCCATGGTCACGGGTTGACTCAACCCGTGAATATAATAATAGTGAATAACCACGAAAGTCTTAAAATCTATATTGCATCTACTACTCTAATAATTTACATGTACAGCCACTAACAGAATTCTGTTCCAGAGACCTGTGTGCCGTCAAGCTTTTAGCTGACACGGCCACAGGCCTACCTGAAGTGGTGCTCGCCTCTGTCTATATGGCGGAGTCTGATGTACCACCACCGCAGGAAATGGAACGGCTAATCAAGTACTACGAGCAGAACGGCCAGCATATCGTCGTGGCTACTGACTCCAATGCCCACCATCCGTTGTCGGGCATGGAACTCGCAAATGACAGAGGTAAGAACCTAACAGAATACTTATTCACAACTAACCTTCAAATCCTTAATAAAGGTACTGTACCAACCTTCGTAAATAACAGATGCAGGACGATTATAGACCTAACCCTAGCATCAGAAGGAGCAGTAAATCTTGTCCAAGACTGGCACGTGTCCGAAGAAGCATCCTTCTCGGACCACAGATGGATAAGATTTAGCTTAGAAACAGCCATCAAAGAACAACAACCGAAACGGAATCCCCGAAAAACCGATCGTGCGCGGATGAGGACTGGGAAAACTACAAGACGGCCAAATCCAAACTAAAAAAGTGCATACGGTTCAGGAGCATCGCGTCATGGCGAGGCTACTGCGGGAACATTACGTCTTGTGCACAAGCGAACAGAATAAGGAAAATCCTAGGCAACTCAAATTCAACTGAGTTAGGTTCAATACGCAAAATAGACAACACATACATAACTTCCCCTGCGGAAACGGAGAGAACCCTACTGGAAACACATTTCCCAGGATGTAGGTTCGTTCAAGACGACAGGTGCGAAGAAATGAACTATAATACATCGATCCATAACTGGCGATACGCTGAACAAGTAGTAACATACGAAAAGACAAAATGGGCAGTAAACACCTTTGAACCGTACAAAGCTCCGGGCCAAGATGGAGTATTCCCCGCACTCCTACAATGGGGCGGGGACACACTGGTCTTTCGAGCCTGTCTAGCATTCCCCTATGTGCCCCACAGCTGGCGAGAGGTAAAAGTCATACTTATACCGAAACCAGGAAAAAACGACTACACTGACGCGAAGTCCTTCAGACAAATCAGCTTCACCTCGTTCTTTTTGAAAACATTAGAAAGGCTATGTGACAGAGAACTGAGGGATAGTGCGCTTAAGAACATACCATTACACGGAAACCAACATGCATACAGCCAAGACAAATCCACTGAGTCGGCCCAACATGCCGTTGTGGGCAAGATAGAAGTGGCCCTCAAAAACAAAGCAATTTACCTAGGCACCTTTATAGATAATGAAGGAGCCTTCGATAAAATCAACTTCTCCAGCATACAATCAGGACTGAGAAGACACGAAGTGGATGAAGTGCTGATCAGCTGGATTAGCAACATGCTAAAAGAAAGAACTATAAAAACAACAGCAAATGAGACCCCATGGGCCATAGTAGCGAAGGGGTGCCCTCAAGGAGGGTACTGTCGCCGCTGCTGTGGAACATGGTCGTAAATGACCTCATCATCAAACTAAACATAGAACATTTCTATACAGTAGGATATGCTGATGACATAGCTATACTGGTAACAGGAAATTATGCCAATACACTCTGCGACATAACACAAGCTGCACTCCGGATTGTGGAAAGATGGTGCAGGGCATACGAACTATCGGTAAATCCGACAAAGACGGAACTAGTAATGTTTACAAACAAAAGACTACTGGGTAACTACCTACTACCCAAACTCTTCAGTACAGAACTAAAGTTATCAACCGAAGTCAAGTACCTGGGGCCAATACAAGACAACAAGTTGAACTGGAACAAGCATCTGCACAACAAAATTCAAAAAGCCACTATCACCTTCTGGCAATGCCATAGAATGGTGGGTAAACAATGGGGACTTTCACCCAAGATAACACTATGGCTTTACACAGCGGTGATAAGACCCATGATCAGTTACGGCGCCATAATATGGTGGCTACGAACCAAGCTGACAACCGCGACCGACAAGCTGGACAAATTCCAAAGACTTGCTTGCGTGGCGACGACCGGCTGCATGAGGACAACACTAACTGCGGCCCTCGAAGCGATGCTGGACCTGCGACCCCTCTCACTGTTCATCATACAGGAAGCGGCGTCAACAGCAGTGCGTCTAAATAGAGCCGGCCTTTGGAAGCACATGAGGACCCCACACACAGAAATCCTCTATAAGACTGTCAATGAGGAAACGCTACTGGAGGCGGCTGTGGATAGGATCCCAAAACAATACACCTTCGACAAAAAATACAAGATGCAATTGTTTGAAGAGCCCAATGAAGGACTGAACCCCAGAGAGGTTCGCGTCTTCACTGACGGATCTAAAACGAATTCAGGAACAGGTACTCAATATCAGGATATCAACACCACTTGGTGACCACAACACAGTATTCCAGGCTGAATGCATGGGCATCAAGCTGGCGGTAGAAGCAATCATAGCGAGAAGAGTTAAGAACCACTCCATTCGAATACTCTCCGATAGTATGTCAGTACTACAAGCACTGAATAGCTATGACATAAACTCAGGGCTTATGAATGCCATCAAGCACTCATGAAGGTATGTATACAGAACCACGTAGCCCTGCAGTGGACTTGCAGTTGAGTGGAAGGACACAGCGGCTTACGTGGCAATGATGCGGCAGATGAACTAGCCAGAAAAGGGTCGGAGATGGACCCTGTAGGACCAGAACCCATAGTGTCCCTCCCCTACCAATGGTTCAGAACAACTATACACAAAGGTACAAAATCGTCACATAATAATGCATGGACGACCCTTACGGTCTGTCGACAGGCGAGGGAAGCACTCCCAACGCTCAATGCCAGTCTATCTCGCATATTTATTAAACTCAAAAGGCAAGAGCTTCGCACTCTAACTGCCGCCCTAACGGGTCATGGTCCATACAATAAACACCTTTTCAATTTAGGTATCACAGACAGCCCTCTATGCAGAGCGTGCATGGAGGGGGAGGAAACGGCTGCGCACATCCTACTACAGTGCTCCGGCGTGGCCAACTACAGGGCAAAGTACCTTGGAGTGCCAAGGTCGCTCCCCGAAGTCTTCAGCAAACCGAGGAGGCTCCTGAGATTCCTGGAGGAGCTTGGGTGGCACGAGTAGGACCCTGCACCCACCACACGCAAAATAGGCGCCTTGACGTCGAGTTGCGGACACCAGCCCGTTACACCAAGTACCCCCAAGTACACCCAAACTCACGAGAGAAATAAATGTGGGCCATACAAATATTTCTCCCGGTCCGGGAATCTAACTTGGGACCTCTGCATGGCGGTCTGGCATGGTAACAGTTCGCTCACGGAAGCTGTCAAATGATTAGTAAAATGTGTTTTTAGTCATCTATGTAAATTCACCTGAGGGTAGGTGTGCGCTGAACTCGTTGTCTGAGGCGAGTGTGGTGAATTGTGGTTCATATACGACGTATTGTAGTTTGAAGGGGGTTGATCCAACTGCGGACATAAAAAAACAATTATAATTCATTCCTATAAACAAAACACTTTTGCGTAAAGCGAGAAAAAACACCGAGAAATGCAGCAAACCCTGGAAAAATACATGACAATTTACTAATCTACCAATCTGTACCTAGGCTGAAAATAAATAGGGATACTAAGCACTAAAAACTTTAGTAAAAACTCAAGCGGATAACTTAAATATGTAATACGTGTATAACATTAACAAATTTAAGTAGATATTAAAAATTATGGAAAAGCTTTCACTGGAAACGACTTAAAAATGTATTGTTTTACATGAATGAACCATCAAGGTGTATCTTTATTTCCAAATTTAAGAATAAAAATAAATAACGTAATAAGGCTTACAATGATAATTTTTATTGAAAACTCACGGCTGGACTTAAAGTTACATGAAAATTTCACAGATTCCAGTTAAATCTATGCAGTCGATTTGGATTTTAGTATTACAGGGGCATTATTCTAGAGCTATTATTAAAGAGCGCAAAAAAGATACGACCAGCCAAAAGTTAGTCAACAAAAATAATACATCAAAATAATAAAATTCTCACAAGGCACATGCTATTGTGAATGTGTACTAAACATTTTCTACATGCTATCTAATCTGATAACAATAATGTGGAAAGAATATAGATTTAAGTGCTTGTCATATCTATTCTGAAAAGTTCAGGCAATCAAATTTTTCGCTGTATCATCCAAATACGTGTTTGCAAGCTCAAGCTCCTAAGATCTGTTTTAAATGGAACTAAGGTGCAGTCAGATCTTTCTAATGGTCGGTTTAAAAGCGCCATTTTAGGAAGAGCTTGGAAACATGTATTCACATCCACTAGCGCGCCTAAATAGTAATTTTTAATACTTTGCAAGGCAATTTAAATGGTACACATGCCTATGAGTATTTTGTTTGATAATAGAAATTTAAGCTATACCAAAAAACAATAACGCCAAAAAGAATCGGAAACTTGATCAGAAAAGCTAGACGTTTATACGAAAAAAAAAAGAGCAAATATTTTTTGATCATGTTCACGACTCTTAAAAGAAAATGAACGAACGTATTATGTTCATTTTCTAGAACAATTTCAAAGTCAGGCTTAAAATAAACCTAGTCGAGCTAATTTAACTAAATCTATACGCTGAGTATTGATATATGCTGTATTAATTACAATTCGAAAACATGAAAAAAATATTCTTATTGGCTACAGGTTTAGAAACCTGTATTTGTATTTCTTAAATAGGCAACTAACTATTGTATCCCGTTAATTAATAAACATGTAACAACATTTTATTAGAAATGGGGATATTGGAGATAGCGGATCATAACACTGACTCGTTTAACTGGATTCCAATGTTCTTGATAGTAGTGTCCTTTTATGTAGGAGACACAATAATATCATGTTTTATATTGAGTTAAGTATGAAGTATGAATTGTATTTCTTCGGTCGTGTAATATAAACTATCAAGTTATTACATTCACTTTGTTTCTTTAAAGCAAAATTTTTATTTTGTTGTTGTTATTTTTCTTATGATATCAAATGACGGGAAAAGTTGTGCGCCTGATGGTAAGCGACACGTTAGTCCATAAAAGTTGCAGTGCCAGTGCAAGGAATGCTTTAAATGATAAAGATATAAGGATTCGGCCACTGCGCTCTCACCCTGAGACATGAGTTGACAAATCCCATGAGCCTCAAATTATTGGGCACCCTTCAAAACCGAAACACTTTAAAGCTCACATTACTACTTGGCGGCAGAAATAGGTAAGGTGGCAATATTTCCCTGAACGAACTCTTTCACACGGAGCTCTACTGCTACTAATTTTAGTAACCGAAGTTAAACAATGTACTTATTAATGTCACATAGGATATTTATCTAAATAAAAGATTTAGAACGGAGGTTGTACAGCATACACCAAAACCAGGCGGTAACAAGGTGTGTGTGAGGTGTCGTACACTTTCCACGATTTGGACGGTGTTGGCCCAGCCCGACTCCACGAGGGTCTGCACCAGCTGCGCCCAGTCCTTGGTCAACATCCACCAACGTTACACGGGTTTTACTTTACACTTTATAATATTGATTACAATCTGGCAATATATATAAGAAGATTTTCGTTGCACATTTATTGTCTAAAGGAGTATTTGTGTTTTGTTTCGTGATTTGTACCAACTATACTTCGTTTTTTTAGAATTAGAGAAACTGTGAACATAGAAGTAGTGACAACAAACCTTGTTGAAATTACAGTAAAGAGAATCATCGGGAGAATTGATGATAAATTATAGTTATAAATGACATGATAATAATATGTTATTATTTTATAAAAGTTTCCGTTTAATGTTCAGAGCCTACGTTTCTTTAATTTTTTTATAGTGCAAGTCTTTGAAATAGATTATGTAAATAGAAAAATAATTATTTTAATTTTATTTATTTATTTTTAATTTTTACTTTATTTATTTATAAGAATTATTTTAGTGATTATTACGTGTAAATTTTTTTAATAATTACATCAAGGTAGCAAATATGTTTTGAGAATTTTGATTGTTATTATACGGTATTTATTAAATTGCTTTGCTTGCAAAATGACTGCTTGAAATGGCGCCTGATTAAAGACCCAAAATTTCCTTCTGTCTAATGCTAAAAAAATGAAGTATAGGAGGACATTTCCTTTGTACAGGAACTCAAATTGCCTTACGCAATCTACCGCTGCAAAACACAAAATAGCACTTTGTGCAAATTGATAGGTATACTCTCAGTGCGAAGTGATTTGGCTCTTATTGTCTAAAATAATAAAAGAATTATTGTTTAAAGAAAATATATCTACACATGATTTGCAGAAAGGACTTTGCCAGAACGTAACCTTGTTTATTACGGCAGTCGAGTATGAAGCAAATAAACATTTTTAACCAATTTTATGTTCACATGAATAATAGGGAAAAATATTAAGTATCAAAGTTTAAAAACGAATTTTTGTGTTCAGTCTCGACTACTTTAGACATTATTGTACATCTTTATATGACGTACTGGATTTTTTCTATAGTGCTTTTATTAGTGCCTTATTATTCTGAATGTGCGTTCTGTTCTCAAGTGAAGTACGTACTCATGTTTCCTTTTGAGTGCCGATATTGAAACTTCACTTAACCGTTAAAATATAAATGTTTGCTTTAAAGATTATCTACTTGACAATTTAACTAAATCTTCAAGATCACTTGTATTTTATTTGAGTAAAAACTTGCCAAACTTAGCGCATTTTTTTAAAAGATAATTTTGTATATTGGTGTATATAAAGGTTTACGAACGTAATGCGGGATTTGAAGCAATTAGGGATGCAAATTATCAAGCTGCGCACTATTTCTCGGGGCGAATTCTTTTCAGTATTGTAATGTTACTTACAACCTAACACCATTACAATAACGAATTCTTACAGGAATAACTTAGTATCATTAAGTAAATATTCGACATTTCTTACGTTTCTCATAAGGATTAATTAAGATGCGAAACTACAGTAGTCAATTTTAGAATATTCGATATTAGTCCCCAAAAGAATCATTATGGTTAAAAAGGAACGCTAAGCTTTCGTTCTTCTTAGAAACGATTTTTTAAATGCACACGCTTAGTTTGGCAGTAAGCTTTCATTTGCAAGTTGACAAGTAAATTTTTTTTAAACACGCGATTTCTAGGAATTTGACTCAAGTAGCTTATTTTGGTTTTCAAACAACTTTTTTGTGACGATTTTTGAAAATTGGTAAAAAAACAAAATGTTTTTCTCAAATTTTCTTAATAAAATATAAATCAAAAGTTCCCAGGGTTATATACACGCGTATTTAAATAAGGAAATGAAACTATTTAAAAGAACACTAAATAGCGTATATCTGTTTTTTGAAACAAACTAATCGGGCCCTTTACCGATCCCTCGGTCGCGGCTGACTCAGACAGAGACTCTGTCTCAGTTAGCCTTTAGTTTGTTTGAAAAAAAAAAAAAAAGGAAATATATGTGATATAGATACGAAAAAAGTAGTTTCGTTTCCTATGTGTAACAATCGCGAAAACCCAAGAACTCGTATTCATTATACATATCAAGTAACTTGTAAAGTTTGTTGCGAAGCTTAAGCTCTTTTGTTTTGGCACCAACTTCATACATACCATGTACATATTGTCTAGACAACTTTTGAATTAATTCAGTATTTCATATCGCTTTTCAAATAAAGGCACACAAGTTAAGTCATTCGACATGTGGAATTTTCAATAACTAATTTGTTAAATCAATATTTACTTTTAACAACAAAATGTTAAGGCCAATATTGTATCTGTACATCAAAAGTTAATATTGACGTAGAATACCTTGTCGCCCTTAAATAAAAGAGAGAATACTTCCAATGGGTTTTTGGTCGGTTTATAGACATGTCAACAAGCATGAAATAAGCAAATCGCTATAGAAGAAACATGCATATCATTTTTACTTACAACTTGTTGCTATTCCATTGAAGCAACGAACATGGGATATAAAACAAATTTATTTGCTAACATACTCATAGAGAGCGAAATAAGGGGAGTAATTTTTGTATGTGTCAAGAAATATCAAGTACGGTGGGCCACATTTAAAAATATACTATAATGTCAAAACTCTTTGTTTAAAGTAATAAAGAAATAAATGCAAAACGGTCATACCCACACGAACCAAATACTTTGTGGCTCTAGTGAAAAGGGGTACAAGTAAAAAAAGCTAACTTTATAAGGAAACACGAAAAACACTTAACGCTTAATATCATGTTAAGCTTTAACAGTTTTTCGCGTCTCATTGTAAAGTTGGGTTTTTTTAATTGTACCCCTTTTCACTAGAGCCACAGAATATGAAACTGTTGATTCGTTACGCTGTTTCACCACACTTATCGATACACAATCATATAAAACCGGTTAGAAAGTTTTCTGTCCGTGTAAAAGAGCGACAATGTTGTGCGTTTCGCGTCGGCGATACAAGGGCAACGCGTAACGACTTTTTCGCACTAATTACTTGAACATAACGCTGTTTCTGCCCGGCTCAAGCCGAATTCGCGTTGACAAGTGTGGTGACCCCCTTACTTTGTGGATTCACCGCCGGTAGGGAGTAACGTAATCAAATTAACACCTGTATAGGATTTTCTGGTACTTTGTTTGTTTGTAAGATTTTTAGAAGAGATTATTTCTTAACACAAAACAATGTTCTTGTTATTTATTAGCAAAACTTATTAGGTTCTTCGTAAGCAATAGTCAAATAAGCATTTTTAACTAGCTGTGATTATAATTTACATGTTTCCACCTTTACCTTATGAGGCTATAGAAACATAAACAAAAATCTATTTAAAAATAGCTGTTATTGACTTGGAAAATCAATTGCATAGTGAAATATAACCTCAGAGTTCAACGCAGTAAGAATATGTAAACTATAATGATCTAGAAGAGAAATCAATATAGCAAAATGTATCGTAAACGTTAAAAGAAAAATAAATCTTGAATGTTATATAGCAAGGAACAAATTCACTTACCATTGTGATTTGCTCGAAAGGTTGTAATAGCTGGTGTAAGTTGCTATAGTCCGTTGTTTGTGGTGATTCCGCCGCCGGACTGCCTGGACTATGCACCATCTATTATAATAATGTTAAGAGTTATATGTGCAAAAGCAGGACGACGGCCACGATATGTAAGTTAAGTCTCTCTAAGACATTTTTTTAAATATCAAGCGAGAGAGACAAAACGAATTCAAAGAATTAAAAAACAAAGTATTTTAAAAATAATTCTAATAAAATTCCAAAAAACCAAGTTTTCCTCTTACATTACCGGGTCACCAGATTGATTATGTAAGGCGAAGAAACGTTACTGCTACGTTACTCGGTTTTGTAGCAGGATATCAGCTTTTTTATTGTTCCTTGTTTTTCCTCTTCCAATACTGGTAATATAACTTGGTTATGTATGAGTAACAAAGAAAAAACTTAGGTATCATATTGCTCTCTTTTCAAAATATTCGTACCGTAGGTGAAGGTATGTTGATATTTGACGTTGAGGAATATTGCGAGGGCGGACTACAATTCGACTGGTAGCCAGATGGTATCCACCCGTGGTCCAATGGTGACATATTCTGAAACCAGCCAGAATATAATGTTCAGCGTTAAGTAAGAGTTAACATTTATAAGAGATAGTTAATTAATAAGAGCTGGTTAATAGTGTGACCATACATACATAACTGGTAATGGTTTTTTTGTTTTTAGCTGTGTTAATTCTAAAGTAGGTCGAGTGTTTTCTGGTTTTAGGATATACGACTGTAGAATTTTTTCGTATGTCAATATAACCGGAAAAAAGCAGGACCTGCCATCTGCCTTGCAGGTCTGGGGATGTTGGAGAATTTTGTAAGTTTCCTGTGTGTGTGGATTTTCAGGAAACAGACAACAGCATATTTATGGGATCGCCAATTCATGTGCATATCGTGATGATTATTACAAACCCACTTTTATTGGAAGAGACATAACTAAAAATGTAAGTAGTAGTGGAAAAATAAAAAAATTAAATCCGATGAAATATGGTCACACTATTTTATAATCTGCTTTAGTGAAACATGCAATTAGAATATAGTAGTCAAAGCGAATATGAGTGAATGAGGACCACCATTCGCTCGCTAGAGGGCACGTTATAGGAAAGTATTGAAATGTCCAGTCAAAGTATAGAATTGCAAACTGTTTATCGTAGATACCTTTACATAACGATATGGCGTGAGCGCATGCTGTTTTGCCAATAAACATGGGAGCTGAGCTGTTTTTTAACCGACTTCAAAAAAAGGAGGAGGATCTCAATTTGACTGTATGTTTTTTTTTATGTATGTTATGCGATAACTCCGGTATTTGTCAACCAATTTTTATGATGCATTTTTGTTAGAAAGACAGTAGCTCCATAGTGGTTCCATTAAATTTTGAAGAAAATCATCCACCTCTAAGGGTGGTTGTTCACGCATGAAGATTTATTTTTATAAATAGCGATTAAATTTTAGTATAATGAGCAATTATTTTAAAGGTTGATTTTGCTATTCTTTAATTCAAGGCGTTTTTCTCTCTCAATATACTTTCGGTAATGAGAACCGACTTTTATTATATTCTGTGTCAAGTCCCGTATAGTGGCGAACTAGGGGATGAATCTGGGTTTGCGCACTTTCCGGTAACCGATTTCAATAAAACTATGTAATTCCACGTACTTTTGAGGTCGGTTTTTTTAAAGTTGTAGTTCTAATTCCTTTTCCTGTCACGTTACAGATAATGTTGGTCCATCTGCATTTCATTCGCCCTTAATGGAGTTGGTAATATAGTAGCGATTGTATTTTACGTATAGTCAAACCAATATAATACTAAATATCTACGCGAATAAGCTCATTTTAAAACGATTATAAATGGTACAGTATATTTATTTTAACCAGTTGCAGTTAACATTCCGACAATTTTGCTTATATATATTATTCGCATCAGTTTTTTAATACACGCTCCTTTATTCCGGGTATTTACATAAGGGTCAACGATATAATAGCCAGTTTGCATATGAATTCAGCGTTTAAACAAAAGCGACTTAGTTAAAAACATCGAAAGTTTTGGCAATGTTTGTAAATACAAATTTATATTTTTACACAATAGTATAATTCACACCCAAGTTTGGAGGAAATTCAATTTTCACTACAGAATAAGCTTGAATTTATAGTTAGTGCCTTATCTATATCCAAACACGTCCTTTCTTATAGATTTGATTACTTACACACAGGCCTAATCGAGGTTAACAGAAATCGGTACGCCAGCCAAATATTGTCACAATATCTGTAGTGGGCCTTTCAAACATATACAGTAGAGCGTAGCTAATACAATTAATAATAAAATAATCTTGTATTCGTTTGTAAATAATGAAGTAAAACATCAACACAAGATAAGTCAATACTTGTCTGTCATTTAGGTATATTTGTAAGATATACTGCATTGCGTAAAATTATCTGGTTTATACTTTTTTATTACGTCATTACTACTCATAATATCTTCCATCTACTATATAGATGAGTTGTTCTGATATTATCAAAATTCTGTTATTCACTAAAACAAAACAGATTTAGGTGCCTATAGACGAGCGACTATTGTTCGCACCGTCCAACTGGTATTAGAATTTTTAAGCATACGCATTTGATCTCACGAACTGGTTGCAAACGTCGGATATGGATTTTGGCACTTTTCACTTTTAATTTCAAATTTCATTTCAAGTTATTGAGCTAGCCGCAATTTCGTCAATTCAGTTTGTGACCCATCGACCGGTTGAGCGATGTGCGAGTGTGCAATGCGCCTTAATAGGATTAAATGAAGTGTTGACTTCTGTAAGCAATTTTATTGTAATCTAACGGGAAGACACACAATCACTATTTATCAATTCGACAAAAATGGACGGAGAAAAAAAATTAATCAAATGGTGGGGATCTATAAAAATTAACATTCAAATTGTAAATTTCATTTTAATCTTACAAAATTGACAACATACAAGAGTGACTGTGCTAGTGTAAAGCTATGCTCACACTAGAGACCCTTAGGTTTTACTGTCCTGCACGTCTTGGGAAGCTTTGCTTTGATCAATTCATCAGAAGAAATTCTTTGGTTGCGTCGCCTAAATTTCTATTCTCACTTATCTGGAGGAAATAGTTACTTAGTAATAAGGCCGTTAGTTGTATATTAGCTTATTCCGTTATGATTATATAATTGTTCTCTCAACACGCAAATTGGGCGCTACTTTACTTTACTTTAATATTACTTTTAATGTGCAATAAAGAATAGTTTATTTGTTCGTTCAATAACTTATTAATATACTACGGTTAAAGAAACTCTTGAATGAGACTTTTAACTGCATTTAAATGAGTTAAACGCAACCGCTTATAAAACACATATAAATCATTGTAAAATAACCCCTGTCGTGCCGTTCCGTTAATGGGCGTCGAGCCTTAAGGGATGACTATGACAACTGATTACAACAGCGAAATTAATTCATCATAAAAAAATGACGTAAATAGACGATTCCGATACTCTAGCTCTTTCGCATAAATAACAGTGTTTTTAGCATTAAGTAATAAAGTGCTGTTAAAAGATGATCAAAAGTATTTTAAAAATCCCCTATAAATAAATATCGAATGTAATATAACCATTAAAATAATTTAAAAAATATTGTTAGTCAATACCAAACACAGGAAGTTAGTTAAATGTAGGGCGGCGTGAACTGCAAAGCATTAAAAATATTCCAAAAAAACTTTAGTCAATGGAAAAATGCCGTTAAAAAGTAAGCGAAAATACGAATTCATGCAAAAGGCCAATTGGAAGCTTCGAATATTAAAAAAAATACAGTGAAAATATATTTCAAAAATCAATCGATTAAAATGTTGATTTGCTTGTATGAAAATTTAGAGGCACTGAATAAAAGTAGTTTTGAAAAGCATTTTAAGCCGCAATGAATCCGGAAAGTTTTAAGAAGGTTAAAAAAGAAAACGAACCTTATTATGATGAAGATAATTATTTGTGTTTGGTACAGATAAGTGATTCTGAAATAAACAAAAAAAAAATGATTTGTGTTGAAAGCAAATAAACACAAACAGAAATAAAAACAACTAAAATGTTAAGATTTGTTCTTAATATAGGTTGGGCTGACTGGACTGTGGATGTACCCGACTGAGCATATAAAGCTCCACGCATGTAGATCTTTAAATATTGGTTGATTTAACAAATCAAGGCCAAATCCAACAATAAAGAACTTTATCAAACAGCAGCACAACAGATGCATCAACTTAAATTGGAAAATGCCATGATTTGCTAACGTAACCAGTTTATGCTGACACGCACAAGCGCGGACACCAGCGGACGCTCGAACATCCCCTCACACACTCAACAATTCTGACGATTCTACTGTGGACAAATCTAAATTCTAATAGACCAGTTATAAAAATAATATTGTCTATAAACATCTAACAAATATATTAAAAATGTTGGCCACTATGTTTTTATTATTAGCATATGCGATTGCGTACTTCACATTTCATACAGACATAAAAAAATGTATTAAATATGGCGTGATCGCATATCCAATGTTTTTACTAAATCGTTAATCAATTTTATCAAACACGGCATACTTCGTCCTCACTACATTAATAGCTCTGCTTAACATATGAACTCGTTGCAAATGAAATTTATGTCGCGATCACGTGATATAAAACTAATGAACAAAGCCTATCACCACAACCTATTGTTTAGAAATTTTCATATTTAGCGTCTATAATATTCAGATTTAGAATTCAATTAAAAAATATTGCTGTCTCGTTTAATCTGAAGTGGTGAGTGAGATAAGTTACAGTTTCATCGAAACTGGGGAGGTAAACATTATTGACCAATCATCCCTCCCAGAGTATGTGGAATGCGGAAGCTATTACACTCCACACAATGTAAGTATTGTTTACAGCAGTCAAGCTATAACTATACTGAATTTAACCGTTTTGAATTTATTCCAGATTTGAATTCGTAACCTGAATTCCGAATAATAATGTTACGTTTACAAAATTTTAGATAAATTAAAATCTGTGTATACCTGAATATCGTAAAGCTGTGAATGATCATGCTGGTGATGCATTGTGGTGGCGAGGGGTACTGTTGCCCCAACGGGGGACCCGGATGCAGGGGACAGGCCCCCCGTCGCAGGGGACACGCTGCCTCCGCCTGGTGATACTGCGCCGGGAGATGTTGGACTCTGAAATAGAAAAGATTAAGTTGTGACCAAAGTGTACACACACACACACAGTACTACGTGATCGTAATATACAGCATGTTTTTTTTTCTTCTATTCAGGGACAGTATAGGGAAATCCGAAACCCTAGGAGATACAAGGAAACTGTCTTAAGAACCAGCTTTTATTGTGAATATAAATTTGACATATATTTGAGTTCTTAGGTTTTCGCGATTGGTCACATAGGAAATGAAACTATGTTTTCAGATCTAAATGGCGTATATTTCTTTTTACAAACAAACCAACGTTTCGGGCCTTTTATAAGTCCCATGGTCGCATGATAAAAATGAATAATATTGTAAATTTTTTTTAATGTTGTTCGAATCAGTTTCTTGTAAGGGTCATTTCATTGTAACGGAAGAAAGAATCGAGGAACCAGAAGTTGATCAAATTTTAACAAACAATGTTGTCCTAGAATATTAATAAATTAATAATATAGAAATCCATGTATATTCCATAGTGCTAATCTATGGGCCACTGAGGCCGTAATTTTATTTATAAATTATTGACCCATATATACCTAAATATACATAGCCTGGCATTGACCTACCAACAAATGGACGTCGGGTCTAATACAAAAACCACGAAAAAAATGTCCGAAGTTAACCTATACAAACGTAGTGTAACGAAATATAAAAAACTAAAACATTTAATTTAAATTGTAACGTCATTGCAATACTACCTAATTTTGCTTGCAACAATTTAAAAAACACCCAAAAACACCATATTAAGCATCTACAGGAAATTTAACAAAATGCACCATATTTAAAATTACTTGAACACAAGAGTAATGAAGTGGCCTTTATCGTAAATATTAATTAATTTTTATATATATTATTATTATATATTATATATTGGTTATTATTTTATAATCTTTCTAAAAAAATACATTTGACATTATGAAAAGTCGAGCTAACATTACTTCGGGCAAATGTATTTTCTGACTTCTAATAGGTAATCCCAAGCCGTAAAACGAGTAGAACAATATTTTGTTAGTTATTGCTAACGTTTAATTAAAAATCATTTTAAAAATAAGAGTCAAATCAAAGCGAGTCTATAGTTTCTTTGTTCTAAATATTTCAATCGCTTTTGGTTCGAACAATTGAAAATGACCAAGAAGTTTATATATAAGCTTCTTGAAATTGACACAATGGGTCTTTTTCCATCTTTTGCGCATGCAATGTGTAGCAAAAAGACAGTTAGCTATTTGATTATTTTGTGTGCTTTTGTAATTTATATTTACGATTCATTTATATATAAATTAAATACTATAAAACTGTACAAAATAACATTTTTAAATGAGAACTATGATAACACAATATATTTGTTTAGTGAAAATATGATACAAAACCTTGTTTTTACACTTTACTGCAGTAATTTTTACAAGTTATTATTATATGCATGATTAACAACCGCGCTGACAGTCGAACAAACGAAGACTGTTGCGCAATTGACGTTCTGTATGTAGCGTTAAAATCACACGCCCTATAGATGCGGACACTTTTAAGCGCGAACCCGATGTCTATTTATTGGTAGGTCAATGTAGCCTGGCAATAAACAAAGCCATTTTTTGTGCAAAAGAATGAAGCGGATACCCGCAGTGTTCCGTAATGTTTTTATTTTGAATTGGTTCTCTTTGACGGCACTAGGGCAATATGTCACGCCTGATATTCCTGGGTGGGATAGATACCAATATGTATTCGACCACCCCGCACTGGATGAGTTATTAGACGTAGAAAATTAATTGTAAGAATATTGATTAATGTAAAAAAAAATTCATTTCTAACTATACTACACAAACTAGGATGATTCCTGTGACACTTCATTCAACGTTTGTTTTAGGGATGAGGTACTTGGTACTTGGTGTAACGGGCTAGTGTCCGCAACTCGACGTCAAGGCGCCTATTTGAGGGATGAGATAAAGTAGATATATTTTAGTGTATTTGATTTTTGAAGCAAAGGTTTCCTCTTAAATTTTTATTTTTGCGACGTATTATGAACAATGTTTAGATGTGTGATGTATTTTCTATTATATTGAAGGCATAAAACACACAATTATAAGTCAAATGCAATTTCAATGGATATTTGTGTAAATTTCAAAAATCATTTCTCATATCATTAATTCATAAGTTTCAAAAAGTAATAATACTGACATGTCAATTCATTGCCTATGATTAAAATTCATGCTTTAAGAATGAATACATGCACTATATATTTTTTTATTAAATTATATATTATAAAAATAGTTTATGAAATACGTAAATTAGTGCACGTCGTTACAAGGTTATATTGTGAAGATTTTCATAAACTGCTAAAGGGATCACACTAGATTATTTTTAGTATGTAATTTCTATTTCCGTTTTCCGTTTCCTACCCTGATTGAAAAACAAAAACTATACACAATTTACTTACCAAATATAAGCAAAATTCTGACATAGGTTGCATTTGTGCCCGGACTAGGTAAACCCTAAGTGACCCTTCTCCTTTGTATTCACAAAAAGGCTTAGTAGCTCCTAAGACAGTTTCCATGTATCTCCTATGGCTCCGGGATTACCCCAGCTGTTCCAGTTGAAAAAAAAAGTGTATGCTGCTGATTCATGGACAAAACAAACATACATAACATGAATTAACAACTCACTTTGTTCTTCGCATTATACCATCATTGAGCGAGTGAGTGTATTTCGTTTGAAGCAAGAGATTGCATTGCAACACTTCCAGTGCGAAATAGATTTCCACAAAGAACGTGGTTTGAGGACTCTTGCCACTGGGCAAGCATGATATTGTAAGACGTTGTACGTCAAGGATGCTTACGTATCTGGGCTGGTGGTAGTCAGGCGACGGTGCAGCGGGGGGGCGGTGGTAGTGCGCGGGAGGGAAGTGCACGGAAGTGAGGTCGGGCAGCGAGCCGCCCGGCACCTGCAGCTCGCCGCACGCCAGCCCGCCTCCCCCCGGGCCCAGCATTCCGCCGTCCCCTCCGCTTTCATATACTCTGCAAGAAAATTTTTATGGTATTCAAACAGGCAAACAGACGATCGATCTGGCGGAAGTGGTGACCGCCGCCTTAAACGACAAGGAAGTATCATTAGTATCACAAAAAACGCATCACAAGCCGCAGTCCTTTTTTTATATTATGTAGGCAGCAAACGAGCATACGGCCCGCATGGTGGAAAGGGGTCACCGTCGCCTGTGAACGCCTGCCACATCAGGGGCGCCATGAGCGCGTTGCCAACCCTTCAGGACCCTTCTCAAACCCCTTTTGAAGGACTCCTGTGCCGGCCATTGCTTCCTAACTTTGACTCCGGAAAGTAGCTATGCTACTTTGTGGTAGAAATTGGTAAGATGGTGGCACTTAACCGGATGGGTTCGGTACATACAAGAATTCTAATAACTCACAGACTGGTACACATTAAAAATTACAGAAAACAACACAAAACACTTATGTTATTGTACAAATAGATCTGACAGCTAACATTGAAACATACATAATGAATGAATAAGCATAGAAATACCACAAATAACAAGTATAAAACGTCATTTAATATAACATTTGTTTTGTGTGTAATTAATTTAATTATGATTTAGCATGAGCTAGTCAGATCTTAACATATACAAACCGAAGAGTGGGTAATATAAAACACAGAGTACACCTTCAATGTATAAAGGTACTTTCTAATGCGTTTTTACTGTATTCATTCCGAAAATCGAAATGCAATTCTGAAAAATAAATAAACAAAACAGTCTATTATTATAACCCTTCGATATTATACCAACTTTTTCTCTGAAATTAAAGTAAAGCAATGTTACTTACTTATTATTATTTGGTATACCGGGTATTTCACATGAAGACCGCGGTCGATTATTTGGATTCATTCCCAAAAGTACGTTGAGTTGTATGTCTCCTGAAACAAAGAGCCAACATATTAAATCTTCTCTTATGTATTATGCAAGTGATGGCATTGGGTATCTCATTAAGCGTTGGCACTTATATAGGCAACGTTGTGGTAAAAAATAGGGACGATGTGGTATTACCTAAAGTATAAAAAGGTAAAGAAATATCACCGACTGAAAGAAAATAACGATGCGAAAAAATGAATTACACTTCTTTTTTATACTCGTATAAAATACGCAATTGACCTCCATCTCACCTGATGGAAGTGGCGATGAGGTGTATATACTTATAACGAAACTTGTATTGCGATTAATACAAATTTCATTATATTAATATACGCGATGTTAAAATTAAACTATTTTAGGAAATGAAACTGTTTTTCCGGATTTAAATAATAATAATTTATTTATTGTTCTTTCCACCTTAACAATACAAATTACAGGGTATTTAAAGTAAAGAACATCATACAGTGAAAATTGTGAGGTGGAAGACTGGTGCCTAAACTAGGTTGGACCTGTACTATAGGTCACCAGGTATCCACCGCCGGATCTCAATGATACAATATTGTGATGTTTTTGAAATTACTAAGACGGAGGAAATTACTAAGAAGGTAAATTGGAGTGATGATTTGAAAATACACTATTTATTTGTTATTTTGAGGAAAGGTACTGTGACAAATTAGTTTCAATAGAAAAGTTAGTAAGTGTGATAAGAAAGTGATTATATGTAAAAATTTTGAGTGAAAAATATGTATAATGGGTTAGGGGATGTACAGTGCAGGAATGTGCGCGCGCGCGCGCGTTCGTGCGTGCGTACGGCGTGCGTGCGTGCGTGCGTGCGTGCGTGTGTGTGTGTATGAGTGTGTGTGTGTGTGTGAGAGAGAGAGAGAGAGAGGGAGAGAAAGAGTGTGCATGAATGGGTGTGAGTGTGATATATGTGTATGTGTGTGACGTGTGTCTGAGTGAGTGTGCAGAAAATACTGTGAAACGTTTAATAGAGAGTTGAATGAAGAAAAAAAAATAAAGGTACATTTTGGGATTTCTATCAAATTGTATATATAACATGTGAAGCTAAACAGTTACGCTAAGGAGTTTTTCAGTATCCTCGTAGGATAGGTTTCGTAACCACTCGGCAACTTTTGTCTTACATTCATAAGATGACAATGGGAAGATGTTGATATGGCTGTTGCATGAATCGTACAAGTACGGGCCCAAGAAACTAAAGAATTTACGGGCAAAAGAGGTCTTTGGCGACGATCTTTTGCAAACCATATAGTGCCTACGTTTGATTTGTTTAAGAGCTGGATCATAAGGGAGAAGACAGCGCTGTTTTAGAATTAATATCCGTATGAACAATTGGCATACCGTAATAACCCTCCAATGGGCATAGAGATCTCTTGTAGCATACAAGAAATTGCGAAAAGATGCCACTTTTCGAACGGCCCTTTAAAATACATGGCAACGGTTGAATGGGACCTGTAAAGGGCCCGAAACGTCGGTTTGTTTGAAAAAAACAACGCGATTTAAATCCGGAAAAACAGTTTCATTTCCTATGTGTAACAATCGCGAAAACCTAAGAACTTAAACTATTTTTCTTTCTTTTTATGATACTAAGTGAGGGACGAACAAGTCGTGCGTCTGGTAGTAAGCGACATGCCTGTCCATAGCGGTTGTAGTGTCATTCAGAACTTTACATCGCAAAGATCTGAGCAGCACTGCGACTGCGCTGTCGCCTTGGGACAAAGTTGACAAGTCCCATGTAAGACTCTTACTCTTTAAAATCAGAACGCAATAACGCTCACAAGACTGCTTGGCGGCAGAAATAGGTAAGGAACAAGGATCATATAGCAATGACGAAATAAGTATAATGCTTATGAACGTGCCTGATTTTCTCTATAGTCTATTTACTATAGCTTCGTAAGACTACAATGGGAAAAGCGCTAAAGGCCCAATGTACGAGTACATTTAAATGTATTAAGTATGCCAAGCGAGTATAGTTTCTTACTAAAAACGTATTATTGTATATCATAGGATCCCAAGCTCTTTGGTTGACCGCCCACTCAATAAGGCAAGATAAAAAAATTTCAACGCCCACCACCACAAAGAAATAATTAAAAACACGTATTTTTATAATAATATCACAAGGAAAAAAAATGTGTGATGAAATATATATATATGCACACACACATTTTTTTTACACACTAATATATGCACACATTATAGGTTTTTTTTCGAATGCGTTAGCACCCCCTAGACAGCATCAACGCCCCCAATTGCTTCCGAGGCCGTGACCGCGATCGCGACGCTACGTCCTTTCAGGGCTCACTGGGGGTGGCAGGAATCACCTTGGGAAACTATGTTCTAGATATCTAATGGTAATTTAGAATGTATAGGGCAAATTAGAATGCGATATTTTTATTATAATGTACACATGGGTATATATATCATGAATATTTTGTAGTACACGGGGCGTTTGGAGGATAAATAAGGCTTTACTATCAGTAAATCTTACCTCTCCGGTGATTGTGATGCGGATGTAGGTGCGGGTGGGCGTGCGAGTGCAACGGGTGATGTGGCGAGAGCGGTTGTGTATTCACTTGCTGTTCGCCGCAAGACTGGTGCAACGCTGAGTCTGAATTCGTCCGCCGCCAGTTGCTATCCGGTGGTGGACTGCAACAAATAGTAGTTTTAAGTAAATTTTAGACTTGTACACATCAATTAGGGGAAAAAAGGTGCAGGTTCTCAATTCGACTGCATATTTTATTATATGTATCGCGTAACAATAACTTCGGTATTTGTGAACAAATTTTGATTATTCCTTTTTTTTTTGTTGGAAATAGGGTACCTAAGAAGTGGTCCCATTTCAATTTGAAGAAAATACTCCACCTCCAAGGGTGGCAAACTAGGTGATGAATGACTATTGAGATCGGTTTTTTTAGTACTCTGTACTGAGATTGTAATAACACTAATCATAAAAAAAATGTAATATATATAATATAAAATCCCTTGTTCAATTCTATCTTTATAGACATATATAATTACAAATTCCACGAAGACTACTTAACATTTTCTGCTCGCATAGTTCAACACGAATATTTCCTGCTCTTAGGAATTGTGTACCATAAATAAAACAATAATCAATGAGGTTCCAATTACGATGACTTATGAGACCTGAATAAAATATCCTACTGGCTAATCAGTTGATTATTTCGCAGCATTCAGTCTATAGTTTATGTGTCAGGTTTCGAATTGTCTATGGAAAACAATTGAAATCGCCTTCTTTTGGTATAGTTTATGTAAAAACTATATAACACATCATTATCAAAGTTTAAACTTAGAAGTTTGGCAAACAATGTATTCGTTTCTATATGTGTGCTTTGTACCCTTCCCTTATACAGTAGGTACACGTACAAGAAATATACAAATGCGTATGTAGTTTTATTGTAGTAAATTTACTCTTGGAGAAGCTTGACAGTGTAACGGACGATTACTCAGTAAAATATTCAAATATTTCTATGAAATATACGTATTCGGTTGGATTCCGTGTAGATAAACATAATTTGGCGGTTTTTACCCATTGGTAACAAGAGCATTGTAATTAAGGCGCGGTTTAGATGATAAGTGCGCAATAAACCTTTGATTTCCGAAATGTTATAATGATGTTATGATTGCTTATTAATTCACAACGAAAATGCTAATGTTGAGGAAGATAGATCTCGGAATATACATGTAGATACATTTTTGCATATATAGATCTCGGCAGACTCAGGATGACCGTAAAAAATATCAGGTTTTAATAGTAGTAGAGCTCCTTGTGAAAGATCGTCCAGAGAAGTACTGCTACCTTACTTATTTCTGCCGCCAAGCAGTAATGTGAGATTACAGCGTTTCTATTTTGAAGAGAAAGGTTGTTGGTGAAATTAGAGGCTTATGGGACTTGTCAACTTGTCTCTGGGTGACGGGCGCAGTGTCAGTGCTCCTCAGTAGGGCTAGTACGATAGGGCGCGACTATGCGAGAATAGCAGTATCTCGCGCTTTATGTCCTCTCGTGTAAGTCGCGGTCTTTCGTGCTATACAAATCGTTTGTTGTTTAAAGCTCTGAGTGGTACTGCAACTGTTATGTACAGGCGTGTCGCTTACCATCAGGCGCACGACTTCACTTGGTATCATAAAAAAGGTCTAAACTAATCAGAACAAAGAAGAGTATGAAAAGACTAAAGAGAGTGAGGGATATGGAAGAGGAATGCCAAGAACAGAAGAGTTATAGCAAGGAGGTAGTCACTGACTACCACAGTGAGATATAAACGTAGTCTATATGTGTAGTGTGTGTGTATTTTAGTTTAAAGCTTTGTTATTTTAAAAGGAGACCGTTTAACTCAACATTAAAGTTTAGTTACTGGGAAAAGAATATTTTTAGTGTTTTCTTGTCGTCAATGGAAATTCCAAATATACGGTGTAATAATGATTATAATGACTTGTTCTTTCCTTGTATGAATAGTGTATGGTGTGTGATAGATAAATGAATAAAAATTAATTACTTAATCATTAATTGAGCAGTTTTTTAACTTCCTTAATTAACTTTTGACGATTTGAGAAGAAAATTTTGTCGATAATAACGTGTTTTATGGAAGGTAGACAAAAAATGTTAAATGTAGTAGATTCTAAGTTACTTGGAATGAAAGCCGTTGCCGGTAAGTTCAAAGTTACTTAATTCCGTCACGCGCAGCATTCTTGGCGGTCAATAACTTAATCGCGACAGAATATGAGACAAACATTAATCAAATAATTTCGTCACGTTTGTTAGGTAAGGTCAGTTTAAGATAATTGCTGTGTCAAGTAAATAATTATGAGAACCCACGCACATGGTTTTTGTTATAATACGCAAATGATATCTCGCATATATCTTGAATGAATACGTTTAAGACAATTGGGGTTTTGCTAGTAAATTGAAGGCAATGTTCGGGGTTTGTTTTGCAAGCTATGTTGATATAGGTCAACACATAGAATTAATTAGATATTATATGAAAATAGGAAGTCTTACCTTAGGTAAACAGTGCTGCCATATGGACTGGTGTCATGTTTCCGATCAGCAGGTCGACGCATGGGGCCCACGGAGGATGAGGCTCGGCCTCTCTGCCCCGGGTTGCGGGAGGGGGACGTGCCACCGCTATGACCACCACCCAACCCATACTGCGTCGCCAATGTCGCTTCTTCAGGCTATAGACAACGGAATCATACTATTACACTACGTTATGTGTGTTGCAAAAAATCTTAGTACGGGTTGAACGTAATAGCAATTAAGCGTATAGATAATTTACACGAGACTACGGGTCGTATTCCTGAACTCTACTCAATACTCAAGTCAGGACTTCAGTATTGCTGCTCATACTCAAGTCCTGGCCATTAGGGTCGTATTTCCAGTGTTTGAAATCATACTCAAGTCGGCTCAAATCCTGACTTGAGCATTGAGCTGGTGCTTTCGGGGTTTTGTAGTTCACTTAGAAAAAAAATCTGTGTTATAAAAAAAAATACACACTTTTCTTGGTTTTGCCACATTTGCATGCACATAACAGCCAGATGTAAGATAACAAGCATCTCTTTACACGTAAAGTACATGTCATTAGTTGGAATGCCAGGTACTGGCATGCCAGCTACAGGTGTGCGAATTTCAGCCTTTAACCGTAGTATAATAAGACAAGTAATCCAAGTCCAACGTCAAAACGTATACGTTGTTGGGAGCATAGAGTTTCCACATTATTATTTTGTTTTTTTTTATGATACCAAGTGGCGGGACAGACAAGTTGTGCCCTCACGTTCTAAACATGATTTGAAAAAGTTAAGGTATTATCACAATATTCTTATGCTATATAGAAAAAACCTTTGTGAAATGGAGTATTTACATATATTTTTATACCAGTAACGTAACGTAAAAAAAAGCCAATGTAAGACCGAACAATTCTGAATTTGAGGCACTCTTGTTCAAACAATAAACACGCCTACTGTTTGATGTCACTTTTTAAACACCGAGCGGATGCTCCAATTCTATAATTAATGGCGCGTGCTACAACACGCGCTATGCAACTCAAGTGCACCGCGAGATTATGCGAATATGTGCGTCCGTAACACGCCGCGCGGCGGGCATGCACACATACAACTCACGCTGCTACGTTTGTATGGAGTTGCAATATTGTTATAATATAATAATAAATAATTTATTTCGATCTTATATATTATAATATGTTTTAATAATTCAGAGCCGTTGAGCTAATTTCAACAGGTCTTACTAACAGGTTAAACTGGCTGCTCTATGATAAGCAGAGATCAAAATTAGCAGAGTATATCTACGTAAACTTCAAGAAAGTAATACACACGAGAGGATAATACCTTCATTAGAAATCCCATAATTACTTGGTACTTGGTGTAACGGGCTGGTTAGCAATTACTTTATAAGTAAAAATATAATGGTTTTTTAATGTGGTATTAGTCTTAAAAGACAGAATGCCGAATATAGGAGGGCGTTTTGGTATTAAAGAGGATGTGATCAGAATATAGAGGGAGAAACTTCGATGGCTTGGTCATGTAGAAAGAATGAATGTTGGTAGATTGACGGCACAAATTTATAGAGCGAATGTGGATGGAGGTGTGGGGAAAGGTAAACTTCGGCGTACAAATTATGTCGATCAGATTGGAGATCTCCAAAAAGGCTGGGTTAAAAGAATCAAAAATAAACGGGTGTGTACAAAGAGACTGATGGGAGTTTCTTCTTTATAATAACTAACAGACGGGACGAAGAAGTCGTGCGCCTGATGGTAAAAGACACGCCTGTCCATAACAGTTACAGTACCCCACAGAACTTTAAATCACAAAGATCGGAGGGGCACTGCCACTGCGCCCTACACCCTGATAAATAAGTTGACAAACCTTTTAAAACCAGAACGCAGTAATGCTCACGCTATTGCTTGACGGGAAAAATAGGTAAGGTGGACGAACTCTTTCATAAGGAACTCTACTGCTACAAGAGTGTGAGAGGGAGTGGAGGAGGCGAAGGAAGCGAAGGAACTTGGTCAGGTGCGTAACAGATGGAGGTCTATGGACTCTGTATACCCCGGTGGGAGACAGACGTGATGATATAAGTATGTATAATTATTTTGTTTAGTTTCCACGTTAATAAAGCAAATTATGAGACGCGTAACATTTGTTCTAGTGTAAATGCTTATAAATTTGTGGAAAGAAACTAAAGGTATAATTTTACATAAAGGACAATATTAAATATATAGCAAAAACGATTTTTAAATGACAGACTATTACTACAATTACTCATGCGGTAGTTTCTACGAATCATTTATGCAAGTACTACGAAACTTGATTAAAAGAAAAACGTCATGACCATGACCTTACTAATGGCGGGAATTTACAAACGAAATCAGAGTACTTATAATTATTAATTATTACCTTTCCCTTCGATCGAAGTCAATGTCAACTAGTTTTTTGAAGGGGAAATGAGGCGAAATGATTTTGAAAGTATATAATTCTTAAGAATAATAAAACGGCTGTTGCTAGCATTTTGCGACGTACTTTGTTTACAAGAAGATAGAATCTGAACGTTAGAACGTGAAAAAGCCTTGGCTAAATCTTACAGAAGGCTATTATACTAAGTTGAATTAAACTGTTACTCTGTAAGTATTGTAGTCCTGCACTACTACGTCCTGTCGAATCAATATGCTTACAAAAGTGCGTAATTAATATGAAGTTAGGCACTGCTCGTGGCAAGCCACAGAATTATGGCTAAAGAAAACATCGACGAAGATAACCTTACGTAGATTTCACGATCTCGGTGGTTCAACGGTTTACACTATGGGCGCTGAATGAAGAAGTCCCGGGTTCGATTCCCCGGTTGAACCAGTTTGAGAAATAAACTATTCTAAATTGGTTCCGTTAGGGCGCGTTCCCATTATGTCGTGACGACAGATAGTCGTGCAGTTTAAAGTGTCGTGGCTTGTACATGTAAATGAAGTCGTCCACATATAGTATAACATGATTAATTGTCGTTCACGACACTTTACGTAAGGGCGCGTCCCCATTACGTGGCAATGTTTTATTATTAAAGGGAATTCTCTAGTTTGAGATCAAGTAGTAGGTGTGATTACGGCATATTATTATTATAGCCCTGGTTTCGATTCCTTGTTATCACTAAAGTTTAAAGTAATTATAAATAATTCATAAATTTTAAATGCCAAATAAAACAAGCATTCGACATAAGTTTCTAGATTTAAATAAAATAATAATAATGAAGTTGCCTGTTTTTATTACTCCAAGGCCTTGTGCGTAATAGCTAAATAGCTGTATCCAAGCGCTACTGGTATACCTTATACGTGTATGCCATTGCACAAAGCTAGCTGTTATTAGCATTATACAGCGCAGCAAGGTTTTTGTTACGTATAGTGTCAATCAGCACTATATCGCGCTACATAGTAATAATCTAATGCGCTATTTAACGCTGTTTAACGCTACACAGTTATTCGCACACAGCTCTAATCCTTCCGAACTCGGCACGATTTTTATACAAAAGTGACGACATTGTCAATCGCAACTTGTAAACTAGTATAGAAACTAGTCACGCTGTTCCGCGTACGATTAGCGAAACTTCATAATGTACTGTAATAATATTCTGACAAAATTTTTATAATTTATATTAAAAAATGGGAACAAACGAATTTGTCTTATCCTGTAAACTGGTTGATTGAATGTTTAATTTTTTTTTCTATTAAGTTATTCAAAGTCCACGCTATGGAAAGTGGTAATTCTCGCCCGTAACGTCCCGGATTGCGCCTGAGACCTGGCAGTACTGCTTTGCAGGGTAAAATAGACAGGGTGGTTGTACCCATACAGGCAGATTTTAAAACGACAGAATCCCAGGAAAGTATTACATAATTTAATAAAATATCACAACCATAATTTCAGAAGCATGCTTTTGTAACTCACAATTATTAAAGGGACAAAAATAAATATATTAATTTGCGTCCTAAATATTTTAAAAATAATTCCCAATAAATTGTATTGGTTAACCTTTAATTGTTTCTGTAACCATTATAAAGGGATCAAACTCATTTAACAATAACCATATTGAAAAAACTTCACGAACACATGTTTTTAATATAAATAAGTTCACACAAGCTTTCTGCTCTGAACATTGGAGTTATTACAAAACTGTTTATTATCATAACATTAAGTTCCGTTGAGTAACAATTTAGTGTGTATTTTACAAGCCGATAATTCAATTAGCATCTTTTTCATACATTATTACTTTTGATACCTTTTTAGTGTTGTCATGTTAGAGTAATATATTTGTAGAATGTGGTATTTATAGTAACAGTACTTTATGTATGTTTTGTTGATGACTCATATGATTTATTAATACAAATTATTCTATTTCCATCAAAATCACTTTTTAATAACCTGTTCACATTTGCGCATATAAATTTAACATTGAAATGACGTCTTTTTGGCGTTATGTCGCTTATAAGGTAATACTATGGATGAACAAGCAATTTGGGTTTTAAAAGATAACATGTTCATTCGCAAACTAGGAAATAAAATTAAATAAATGAGCCTACTGACAGCCATCTACAACTGCACCACTACCATAAAATCAAATAGCAAGATCTACAACAATAATAATTATATTTAGTCACAGCATTATACATTCTTTTCTATTGCTAACACATACTATGATATTGTTTGTTTGTTTCAATCGGGGATAAAGTAGTTTATCCAAAAGTAGTATACTTATGAGTAATGCGAATATAAAAAAGAATGCAGCAACGCTGTGAATAAATAAATGGCACCGATTCACTTGTTATTTTTCCAAATTGTGTAGTCCCAAAAAGCACATTTATCCTTTTTTTCGATTTAAAAAGAGGATAGACAATACTGCAATATTTAATTTGGTAAAATGTACAAAAAAGCAGTACCATACAATGACCACATAAAAATCTAAATAAGATTCCGAAAAATAGGAACCTTCTGCTCTGGTTCTGCATTAGTGGCTTGTGGTGCAGCCACATTTGGCAGAGATCCGCTGCGGAATGTGCCCAAACTCTGCAGCGTGGGCCTCAAAGTTGAGTGTACACTGTCAATCTCTATTATCTCAACAGGTGGTGTGGGATCTTTCGCCCTAGCCCGTCTGCTACTTGAATTAACCTGTAATCATGGTCTTGTCAGGTGTCTATCTGTGATGTTCCTTAATGATTTTGCCATAAACTTTTTGACAATTTAACATTAATTATTTTCAAAAACATTATTTTCGTTTGTCTTTACATATTTTAAATCAAGTTACAAATTGATGACACACTGACTTTTACATAAAAGTTAATGTACATGAACTGAAAAAGTGTAAAATTAGAAGTATTATTAACTTTGCTAGAACATTTAAACTAAAATTTTTGCTTGTAATTTTGCTAATATTTCCATAGTATGCATATCCAATACTTTAAGGAAGAAAGAGAAAGCAAATTTATAAATTAAATAATTGAATTAAATTTTCATAATCTTTCTGTGTATTTACTAAAAATCTTTAACTATTTTTTATTCACAAAAAGACCTTTTTTACATAAATATAGTCATAGTCATAAATACAAAAAGATATGAACTAAAACGCTTATAAATGTTTGTTTCTCCCTTGTCTTGTGAAGTTCATTTTACATCCTGCCTACCCAGAATGATGGTCCATGATTCATATTTTTGTCCGTTGGACTCACCCATCTACACAAACAGATCCATAGGTGTTATTACATCGGTGTGTTTAATTAATACTCTTGATTATATATTTTGTTACTTTTGAAGCTATGAATGAAAGCATGTTTCTTAGAATTCTTTCATCAACAAGAAATGGTTCATAGATAATATGTTTAATTAAAACCCAAATAGTTTATTTTTATATTAATAAACATGTGAGAATCATTGTGTTAATTTATTACCAGAGATGTTTTACACTGTTAATAAACAAATTAAAAAATAGTAATGTAACTTAAAATTTTTGGTAAACTGACAAAAAGTAGATTTAATGAGTATATTTTACATAACTTACTACCAGCTAAATTTACTATTTGACTGGTACCACCCACCATGTAGTATATACTAAATTCTATTTAATATGAAAAAATATAATACTTATTATACTGCTTTTATTTTCCAAAATATTTTATTTAAATCTGTATTTTATTTTTGCCACTATTGTTGAGGGTGTAATTATAACATTATAATAAAATATTTATCAGTATTTGTGAAGCAAAATATTTACATATGCAAATGCAATGCTAAGCCTGAATTTGGCTATTATTCGTCCATTTATACAACACACCATTTTTTTCATGAATAACATTAATAGGCTTTGTTGTTTTATAACGTACAATATTACTCCACTTCCTTGTTAGAATCTTATTAGGATAAGGACAAATCAAGAAAATAGGAAAATAATTTTCATAACAACACCATTAATAATTGCAATGTGCTTCTAAAGTGAAGAATAACGCGTAAATAGCGAGTTAAACCGTGGTAACAATGACAATTATTTACAGTATTAAGATATGCTCGCCGACGGCGCCAGGGAGCTTTGTTATTGTGCGCCCTTAGATCTCACGGGGACCATGCCTGCGGATGCTTATTAAGTCGCAGTTTGCTTATTGTACTGATTCACTTCACTTTATAAATGATTATTGTTTACGTCGGCGGGCACATTTGACGGCCAGGAAGCGATTGACTGAGTAAATAGGCGACATACCTTATTGGTTGCGTCGGAAACTTCACGCATAATTTGTTCAAAAGCGGCCGTTTCCTCGGCCTGCTTTTGGTTGTGGAGGGCAATTTTTTCACTAAATTTTCTAGGATTCGCCATGATGGCTCACAATTATATATTTTTCTCTTTTTACATCACAATTTTCTGCGCTCGTAGTACCAAAACGCGCTTGTCTGTCATGTCAGACAGTCAGTGTTACCAATTTTTGGAAAAACCCATAGATTATAATAATGTTTTTTTAAACGGCACGCTCGTTTCCCATGATTACTTTTTTTTTCATCTTTCAAATATTGGTTGTAGAAAGTGGCTGTGTAGCACTAGTACAGCATTTTAATTTTTCTGCCAATCAGACATCTGTCAAAAACAACAACGATGTCAAGTCAAATTGTCAAATTGCGGGCCTATGGGAACGTACGGTGAAGATGTTAATGAAATTAATTCACTTGTGTTTAAATTGTAGCTGTTAATAAATGTGTGGTTAAATAAAGCAGATTTGTTAAATCAAAGAATCCAAAGGGCTTAAAATATGGAGGAAAAATATATTTTATCTCTTGATATTGGGACAACTACTATTCGATCCTTTATTTATAATAGTAGAGCCGAAATTGTTGATAAAGCTATTACTGAGGCGAGTAAAAATATTATATTAATATTTATTGCCTGTTTTTGTAATTTTCTTGACTTGTTTGTTAACTTTTTATTTAAAAATATCTTGTTAAACTATTATATACTTTTGTTTGTATTTTAGGTGGTACTGCATTATCCTAGTAACGGTTTTGTAGAGATAGATCCTGATGAATTATGGCAAACAATTGTAGAAGTTGTTCAGAAATCTTTAAAGAGTGAGTATCACTGGGTATTTTTTTTAAATGTATATATGTCATAATTATTTAGTGTATGGACTCTTGGGATTCTCAAGTCATAACAACATGATTGAATTTATTAACGTCGCCCGTATGTATTAATCAGATGACTGTATCCTTCCAATTCCCAACATAATTAATTTAATTAAACATAATAATTATTTTGCTTTCGAAGTTAAGATAAAAAATTAAAGTTATTATTAATAATTTTATCTAAAACATTATTATAGGTGGACATTGAAAATTTATCAATGTTATTATTATTTTATCGTTAATAAGAAATAAATGTGTCAGGATCGTAGCATGTCGAAGGTTGTTGTCGCAGCCTACCCTAATTGGAGAAGGACTTGAAGTGGATGAATGTATGTAATTATTTATTAACTTTTAACAGATGCAAGTTTGTCACCGGGACAGGTAACGGGCATGGGCATATCAACTCAGAGAAGCACATTTATTACTTGGTCACGTAAAACAGGCAAGCCATTCCATCGGTTTATAACATGGAAAGATATGCGGGCTGACAAGTTGGTTAAACAGTGGAACGATTCTTATACTTGGAAGGTAACTAGTTTTATTTAAAAGTTCATGCTTTTTGAAAGAGATTGAATGAAAAAACTTAAGAACTGAATTTATAATAAAAAAGATCATTGCTAGTATTGAGGTTTATAATTAATTTTCACTAAAATTTTATAGAGTAACTGATTGAGTGAAATAATTTTATGCTGTGTGTTTTTATAACTGCGACAGTATGTGCAAATCTGAAACCAGAGGAGATATCAAAGGAAAATCAGCATCAAAAAAATTTGGCAATTTTATTCATTTTGTAGAATAACATTTTATTAAGTTTGATCAACTTCTGCTGTCCCAATTTTTTAGTTCCAATACAGTGAAATGATCCTTACATAAAACTGAGTTGATTAACACTATAAAAACAATTTTTTTTTTTTTTCATTTTTATGGACAATGACACTTGACCAAAAAATTGTCTATACTAAGGTTTTCATAAAAAAAAATCTAATGGTTCATAAGTCAGTTTTCCCCTATTTCCTATAGTTTTGGATTTGCCCATACTGTCGCATTTAAAAACCAAACTGTATAATGATTGTATTTTAAAATTCTAGGAATATATGTGAGAGTGTATAAGTAAGGGTGTATCAAAAAAGTTTTTACATGTTTCCATATTGGATATTGAAACTTAAAGTGCTTTTTACATTTATCTGATATAAAAGCATGCATGCATGAGGGCATGCATTTTCTATGTAAATAAATACTATCTGATATTTTATATAGAAAATTGGCTATATATAATATTTTTATTTATTTAAATTTTATTACACACAAAACAGTACAAATGGTGGCTTAGGATTACTGTCGTCTTATTGAAAGTGCTATGACGTTGATTTTGAGTGGACCCAATAAAAGACATTCTCATGACATAGCAGGCATGTAACTAAATACATTATCACTCGCACTATCACAGTACAATTAAATAAAATGTGTATATGTTAGAGTTGCAATAAATACTCGGCTACTATTCGGCAATTCGGCTTGTTTTTTGCTATTCGGCTGAATAACGAATACATCAAACCAGGAGGAAGAAAGTAGAAAAAACACATTTAAGTATCATATAACTTTTATTAATGCTGAATATACATTGTACTTAAGGTCAAAAAAGCCTAATTTTTCGCTGTATTTAAAAGATCAAAGTAAATAGAACATCAGTAAGTTATATTACTAAAATATTAAAAAAACGTAATAAATCAGAAACTACCTACTTGTTATGTAGTTTAGTCATGACTGAATAAACGCTAACAAAAACAAATTACTTATAATTTGCAAACCAAAATATTTTTTTTAATTAATCAAACTTAAGCGAAATAAACTACTACTATAATTGTTATATCATAAATATAAATTATAAACTTGAAAATTGAATTACCTTTGTGCAACATTATTACCTAATAATAACTGCAGTTAATAAGTGGTGTTTCTCTGCCAATTTTCGTATTTACGTTAATCAGAACGAATAGTTTGACCGAATATTTAGTATTCGACCTGAGGCCTAGTTGATTATTTGCTGCAACATTATATATTTAATTTCAAGAAATTGTAAAATAATAGTAAAAAATTTGAGGCCAGTTAAATAAACAACTCTTAATGAATTAACAACTAACAAAGTACAAAACATCCCCAATACATCTACATTGCACATGCAGCTACATTTTTGACAGTTTCAAATTATTGAACAAATTAAATAATTTTACATTACTGGTGAAAGTATTGAGATAATGAGTACATAATTAGTATACAGTTAATTGAACTACAATAAGGTAATTTTCAAACAAACAACCAATTGACAATTGAACTCGAAGTTAAAATTTAAATAGATATAAATTGTTTAGCTATTGATACAAAGAATTTGCTTGATTGATATAATTAAGTAAGTAGGTAATTATAACCTTAAATTATATTTATAGAGTATATTTTTGTTTAGTTTTCAAACATACCTTGTCTTAGGCCCAATTCACATGCCAAGCATTAGACACACGTCACATTTGAACATCTATGCTACTTTTGAATAAAATTCGTGTAGTTGTAAGCTGTGGTAGCCTAATGGTTTGATCATACATACATAGGCCGATGAGGCGAATCCGGGCTCGGATGTCCCAGTTTCTCGGAATTTATGTGCGAAATTTACTTTAAAATTCATTATGAGCTTTTTGATGAAGGAAAACATCGTGATGTACTCCACAAAGGTTCCACAATCTACGGAAAACGTGTGAAGTCCCCAACCTGCATTGGGCCAACGTGGTGGACTATGGCCTAAACCCTCCTCTGAGACTCCTCTCACGAGTCTCCTTGTGCCTGGTGTAGAGTCGTAAGCGCGCGTTAGCAAAACGTACGTTGAGCGCGCGTCTAACGCTTGCCATGTGTACCGGCCCTTATGAAATTATCTTTCTTACATTGTCAAATTAGTTTCGTATTTATCTATACATGCCAAGGATAAAGATATTTGAGGTTTTAATCAACAATTATTTATTTTGAATGAAAATTTTTAATACAATTTATCAGTGTAACTCAGGCATTGCGGGTTCTGAATTGCATTAGATTTTTGTTTCAAACACAAAAGATATCTACACAATCATGTCCGTTTATGTTTAGATCTTCTAGTGGCACCATCAGAAGATGATTTTTCATAATCATAACATTTTTATTAATGAAACCGATCTTAAAAGATTGTGGAACTCTATTTGCCAAGTTTTATTGAAATCGGTTCGTTAATTTGCCTTTGGAGGTGGAAGAAAATATCTTTGCATAACATAAATGCACAAATAACTCTCCTCCTCCTTTTTTTGAAGTCGGTTAAAAATTCAAAATTATTTTTAAAACATACTACTAATTCAATAATTAATACCAATTGTTTGTGATTGTTCATTTACTACAGATATTTATAAGACCTTGACATTCAATTAAACTTTGTTTAAGAAGGGACATAATTCATCACAGCAAGTTTTTATAGTTGAATGTAAATTATATGTATATTTCTTGATATTTTTTCTAGAAGTTTCGCTCAATTTGAAACACGCAAGTCATTAAAATTTACATACACGAACTTATGCATAACTATGTATGACGAACCGTGATCGAGTGGTTGGCTCACCGGTTTTCAAAGTGTGCTATTTCTGTGGTACCGGGTTCGATCCCCGATAGGGTCAATGTAGACAATTAACTTTCTACATTGTCTCGGTTCTGAGTGTTTGTGATACCGTTGTTGTTTCCGATTTTCATAACACACATCTATCCTCCTTGTCATAACTAACACATGTGCATTTCGGTAACTTAATGATATTGGCACCTAAAACGTGTCATTATTTTGCTTAACAATAAAACTGAAACTATATAAAGTATTAAAAAACCGATTAGAGTGGGTTGTAGATTTTTTTATGATACCAAGTGATTGTACGAAGAAGTCGTGCGCCTGATGGTACCTAAGCGACACTCTTGTCCATAACACTTGCCATGCCACTCAGAGCTTTAAATGACAAAGATCTGAGACATAAGTTCAAAACCGGAACGCAGTAATGCTCACATTACTGCTTGGCGGCAGAAAGAGGTAAGGTGGCAATACTACCCTGGATGAACGTTTTCAAAACGCACGCTACTGCTGCTAAAATAAAAAATATCGTATATCATAAAAATTTAGATATTGTTTCTTGATCCAGACATGTTCAAAACTTAATTTCGCTAAAAATGTCGGACGGCAAAATTGCTTTAGGTACTTACTTTGCGATCAGAGTCAAGAGATCAGATTATTTATGAATATGGTGACTGATGTGTTAAAAAAGTAAATACATAAAAGAGCAACAACAAGTATGCAAGCAATTTACGAGGTCTTGCAATAAATATAGATTATTTATTTTACAGCTGATTAGGGCGGGTGCCTATGTATTATACTTGATGTCGGGTAGTAGAAGGTTCCGCGCTGGCAGCGTATTAAAATTCATGAACACGCAGGTAATTTATTTTTTATTTATTCAGGCATATTAAGAATTTTAAATGTTGTTGTTGAAATGTTTTTTTTTAATTTATTAAGGCTTTGGCAAAGCCATCAGCCTAAACATGAAGTTTAATTATGTTTCTGTAAATATGGCCGCCACAAAGAGGATAGGCAAATTGAGGCGGCGTGCTTGGATTGACTCGGGATTCCTTAAAACGGGCCGATATGGGTATTTTAGTTCGAGATTCGTATAATTTCGCGGTATAATTTTCGATTAAGGTACAATAGCACTATCCTATTCCACTTTAAACTAGATTTCACAAAATAATTGAAAGTCAAAATAAAAACGACACTTTTCCCTCCAAAAGGTCCAGAGCGAATCACTGTCATGTTTTTATCAAAAAGAATATGATGTTTTTGATTACCGTATGTCATTTGTTATGTTCTATTTCCGAAACAGTAATTGGATTTGCACAAAGGAGATTTATGTTGATGACGCATTTTTGAACAACTTTTAAAAAAATATAAGACACATTAAGTATTAAGAGTGTCTTTTGACGTACTTAAGTTTAGTGATCATTAGTGTTTATAAATTTAAATTTTAAAACTGCTTATAATGTTTCCTAAATTAGATGGTGATAAGCAATAATATATCAGCCGACATGATCATGTTTTGCGAAAATGGCACCCAAATGATTTTTTGTTCAAAAATCAAAAAATAAGGAAAAAATCCTTAGGTACAGTCAAGAGCACGTCAAGCTTGACACTTTGTACTTTGGATCGTTCATATAGTAAGCGGCATAGAGTTGGATTTAAATCTTAAGTGTCAAGCTTGACGTGATCTTGACCTTGTACTAATTTCACAAAATTATGACCACGTTGATTGACACGTTACTGTTCATCAGCATCCAATTATCTCAAGCTCTCGCGACGTAAAAAAATTGATTTGTTTTTCGCTCTTAATAATACTTATTTCATAATATTCCATAATGATGCAGGTACATCATACCTAAGCAACATTGCTTTAATCTCTGTTTGAAAATAATCTGATACGTTCGTAAAATTATTCCATACCATTGTAACAAAAGTTAACGAAAATGGTTTTTGTTAAAGACGACGCTAAGATTGAGTTGGGCCATGCAAAACATAGCGGCCTTGAAAGAGGCGGCAAAAAACAACGACGCCATGTTTGGAACTTTGGACACTTGGTTGCTGTACAAATTAACAGGTAAGGATTTTTCGGAAACTTTACTGTCCAGGATTTATTTATTTGGCAAACCAACAGAATTACACAATTATATGATTATTTGGCAAACCAACAGAATTACACAATTTGATATATTTCCAAAACGACATTGGTAAAGCCTTTAAGTCTATTGACATAAAAGATACTGCTGACCTTGATTGTCTTTCAGTCAGATTAATAATTAGTTCTATAGTTGATTGTAATGCGCCTTACTTAGCATGTGTCTTTAATAAATGTGTTGACGATTATGTGTTTCCCGACCTCATGAAGCAAAATTATTCCACTTTTCGAATCTGGTAATATGTCAGACCCCACCAATTTTAGACCTATTTCAATACTACCTATTCTCAGTAAAATATTTGAATAAATGATTCTAAATCCGATGTGTGCACATTTTTAAAGTAATAACTTAATGTCTCCTAAACAATTTGGTTTCACTCGGGGTCGCTCTACAACTGATGCTGGTGTTGGGTTGATAAAACATATATTTGATGTATGGAAAAACTCACACGATGCTATTGGTGTATTCTGTGACCTTTTCAAGGCTTTTGATTGTGTGCACCATGTCACTCTGGTCAGGAAACTTCGCCATTATGGTGTGCCGGGTAGTGACCTCGTCCTTCATAAATCGTCTTTGAGTGCTAGGGTACAGATGGTCGATGTCAATTGTACGAGATCATCAGGGTCTGCAATTAGCATGGGTGTCCCTCAAGGTTCAATTCTAGGCCCATTTTTGTTTTTAGTTTATATTAATTACTTATCTAGGCCTCATGGATGGTATAAAACATGAGATAGTATTATTTGCTGACGATACTTCCTTATTATTTAAAGTTAAAAGGCACCAATGTTCCTACGACGATGTGAACAATGCTATATCTAAAGTAGTTGATTGGTTTGCTGATAATAACCTGCTCCTTGCTGTTGCTCCCAATGTTACAGAGACAAACATTGTAGTTAAAAACGAAAAATGGAACCTTGTGGATACAATTGTATTTCTAGGTATAACGTTAGATGCTAAATTGCAGTGGGGGTGCACATATAAGTAAGTTATCAAAACGGCTCAGCTTTGCAGTGTACGCGATTAAAAAAATACGGAAACTTTCAGACATCGAAACCGCTAGATTGGTTTACTTCAGCTACTTTCACACTCTAATGACATACGGCATTTTGCTTTGGGGTAATGCCGCCGATATCAATAGAATTTTTTGCAATTTACAATCTGGGCCCCAGAGTATCTTTGAGAGATAAGTTTAAGGAAATTAACATTCTTACACTAGCGTCACATTTATAAAAATGTAATTTATATTAAGAGGAAAAGTATAATAATAATATAATAACGCACACACTCAATATTGCCCCGCACTAGAGAAACCCTGTGTCGCGGGTGCCATGGACATACACATAGACAACCACAAATTACACCCAAACTCACGAGAGAAATAATTGTAGGCCATACAACTATTTCTCCCGGCCCGGAAATCTAACCTGGGACCTCTGCGTGGCAGTCCGGCATGGTAACTGTTCGGCCACGGCGGCAGTTAAGGAGAAGTAATTTGTTTATGAAAAATTGTGACAGACATAACATTCATATGAGGAATAAAAATAAACTAGCTGTAAGATAGTCGTTTTCACAAAATCACAAATTCATTTAAGGGGCAATGTATATGCTTCTATAACAAGATTCCAGTTGATATATAAAATTTGCCATTCACGAGGTTTAAATCTATAGTGAAACAAAAACTTTATACTAAAGTTTATTATACAACTTCTGCGTACTTGGATGACAAAAATCCGTGGTAGTAACCCGTTTAGCTCATGGAGGTAGTCTCGATCTCTGATGTTTGAAAACAAAACAAAAAAATGTATTGTAAATGTTGAATGTGTACAAATGTTATTTACAAAGAGCAACCCCTAGAGTTTCTTGCTCATTCTTCTCAGGGGAATCTGCCTTACGAATGAGCGGTAAATTTTAACCAATGTGACGATTTCAAGTGTAATAATGCTTTCCTATGAAATAAAGATTACTTTGATTTTTGATTTTGTGGTAATATCAAAAATTCTGTATGATGTTTGGTTTACAATCAAACGGCTAATATTTCAATTAAACAAATTAACGTAATAAAAATGGGGTATTTGACAAGTATCGAACATTAAATGCTTTTCGTAGCATTAAAAAAACATAAATAGATGGTTAAACGTGGAAACAGTACATACAATTTGTTGAAAATAAATTGGTTACAAAGAAAATCTAGGCGTTCCGAAATTAAATATAATAAACGGCGTTACTTGTTTGTGACGTCAATGACCTTTAGAGCGGCGGGCGCTATACGAGCTACACGATTATTATTTATTATTTTTTTGCTAAAATAAGTGGTATTCCCCCACCACTGACTTTAACCATTAATATACATATTTTTTGTTAGTAGAGATATCGAAAAACGAAGTACAATGCCATGCATGCGAGTTGATTGATTTTTTTTTATTCCTAGTCACCTTATCACATTTAAAAACGTCGTCACTGTACGATTATCAACATAATTATCACAATTTTATGTTAATAATGCGGAAATGTAAAAATCTTACGCAAATCTATTAAGATGTGAGCACGTGATCAAAATATTAATTTTCTTGTACTACATTATATTTAAATGGGTATTTATAGCAACAGATATGGAGTAGTAAACAATGTGTGCGTAGTATTTTTTTGCGTCTTGTACACTAAATATTTTTCTCACAACGATTAAAATATCATAAAGATTGTAGTCGACTCGAGTTGGTTCAATACTCAATACTCAATCTTTATTGCTTTTCCATATGTTTACAAGGTGTTACAAAGTATATAATATAATAGTTCATGTATGGACCCTGTCGGGCACCGTTCAGTCGTTCAGTTCAGTGGTTCAGTTCGTATATGCGTGAAAACGTAACAGGCAGACAGAGTTACTTACGCATTTTTAATAATTAGTTTCAATTATTACAATCCTACGCAAAATGTAACCTGATTTCTGTGGTTATATATTATTATTACAATCGTAGGCAAGTATAGTTCAATAGGTAAATTCTGATAACCTGATTTGTGTGTTTTTAACATGATTATTATTACAATTTCACGTAAAAAGTAATTCAATGAATCAAATCGGAATCGGATTTGATTCCGACTACGCAGTCAAAAATCTCATCCCGCCGTGCCGCGGTATCCTCTAGCGTGCTTTTCAATGCCGCAGAGAGTAGGGATGGGTAATATAGCTTTTTCTGAATATCCTATCGAAACTATGTATCAACATTCGAAATCGGATTTCGAAAATATATTCATGGATACAGCGCGTGCGCGCTGCATTGATACATTGCCGTTACTGACATTCGGAACCAGATTTCGAAACTATTTATTATTGTATTATAGCCCTCGTGCGCCCTGACATGATACGTTGCCGTTTGATTAAATCGCATCGTTCACCATTGTCACAAACTAACTCGCCTAGTATCGAGAAATCACGTACGTATCTCCTCGGCGATCGCTCAGCTTGAATCGGTATCGCTTTACAAGGGCGATGCGGGGATCACCCCGTATACTGATATCAATCAGTATACAGTTTCGAAGACGCACAAAAACGGTTTCACGTTGATATCCACTCAGTGAATAACCAATACGAAGTAATATCGGTATATAGTTTGGAAAATATACGATCTCGTGTTGGTATCCACTCGGTAATCGCTCGGCTTGATTCGGCATTGCTATAAAATACGCGGAGCAATTTCGATGCTAACCTATCACAAAGTCGAAAATTTTTTTGTCCGAAATGACGTTTGTTCGAATTTTCATTACACCGAAAACCGTATTATAACGAAACAGTTGTTCCTTCAGGATATATTGAATGTATATCGCAAAGACACGATTAGGTTCAGTTAGATTAGGTTAAGTTAGGTTTAAAAGTAAAAAAACGTTTTCCTCTCAAAATTACTTTGGAGGTTATGAAATTTCGACCAAACGTTATTTCTGGAAAAGGTAATCTCGGACTAGTGACAGGTAACCAATTTCGGTATATACTTTCTAAGATACACGATATCGGATATTCGATATTGCCACAATATACGGATTCAATTCAACTATATACGATTTGTAACGCCCATCCATAGCAGAGAGAAATGCGTCGCGATGCTCCGAAGTCGGTGTCAGAGCATTGAAATATAAGTATGCCTTATTTCATTTGAAATTAGATAAATTTAATGTCCGCTTGTTCTCGTCCGCTGGCCTTTACAGACCTTTTTATCTCAAACCAATATTGTCAATAGTGTTAGTTTATATATTTATTTATTATTGTGTTTAGATTAGAGTTTCAACGAGTATTCGGTTACTATTCTGTTTTTTGCTATTCGCCCGAATGCCAAATAAGAAAAAACCCATAAAATTATCATGTAATTTTTATTAGCGCTGAACACACAATATAACTTCTAGCTTTATTTAAAATATGAAAGGAAATAAATGTAACACAAAATTATTTTTCTAAGAAATAAAAAAGGTAACATGTCCAATGAAAACTAAAAATACTTTTACATGACAAATAAACGTTATGAAATACAATCAAAGACGTAATTATTTAAATACTAAAATAAAATTAACTTTTTGGAAGTTAATCTAATTAAAGTGAAATGAACAATGACTTTCTTAATTAATTCAAGATTTTTTTTAAATTTTAGTCACTTGTGTTGTTGTTTCATTCATTAGTCTTAGGCTATTCGGCCATACTACATATTCGGTGATACACACTAACAGTTAGTTGCAAGATTAGTTTAGATAAATATTTTTTATTAAAGTTTTATGTGCCTTTGAATAATTGTTTTGCTGTTTAAATCGTAATGTAATTCCAGGTAATCACACTTATCGTTCGATCTCAAACTATAAAATTCCTTGTACCCTAAGTAACAAAATTAATTTCGTTACTCAGTACACACAGACTAGAACTAATCTTGAAAAGTTATTTTTTAAACTGAATCTTGAAACGTTCGTAGTGCTAACCACCACATCATAGTACGCTTTGTAGTAATTTTAAGATCTTTGTTATTGCACTGGGCCAAGTTTAAGTAGCAGTAGAGCTTTTTGTGAAAGAGTTCGTCCAAGGTAGTACTGCCACCTTATCTATTACTGCCGCCAAGCAGTAATGTCAGCGTTACTGTGTTCCGAAGTGTGAAGGGTAAGGGTGCTGATGGAATTTCTACACTTGGGACTTGTCAACTTACGTCTCAGGGTGACGGGCGCAGTGCCAGTGCCCCTCACATCTTTGCGGCTTAAAGCTCTGAGTGGCATTGCAACTGTTATGGACAGGCGTGTAGCTTACCATCAGGCGCACGACTTGTTCGTGCCGTCACTTGATAAAAAAAATCCACAATAGTAATGAGAGCAAAAGTGTAGTAAGTAGATTAAACATAAGTATCATTTTAGCATATCGTCAACGCATTACGATGATCTCTTTTTTTTGGTCTTTTGTCACACAGGAATAAGTAAAATGTTGAAAAGGGTCCCAAACGTTGGCTTGTTTCAAAAAAGCAAATTTAGATTTAGAAGAAATGCGATTCAGAAGAAATAGTTTCGTTTCCAATATGTTTAACAACCGCGAAATCCTAAGAATTCGATAATAACTGAGATTATATTGCTCGTGTTCATTGACCTTATGCTCGTGTTCTACTAATTACTTCAATAAAATGAAATGTACTAGATCATTCCGCGAGAGTCGTAATTGTTTCGATTGCTCGGCTGCATCAGGTTCGTTGCGGTTTGGCCACGTTGTGATCTTACGAAGTAATTAAAATTTCTAAAATTAAATTAATTCAATTTAAATAGAAAACTACCGTGAGATTCAGACGTATTAACTATATTAATTAGATGGTAATTTCAGGTTAGTTTTCTCTATCTAATTTTGGTGGCAATTTTTATTATTCAAGTATTCGAGTAAATTATCGTGAAATATTGAATAATATTTCAGGTTACTACACTCGAATATTAAATAATACTTCATGATTGTGTTCTACAATGTTTAAATAATAAAAATATCTTCAATAATAAAATTAACTTCCAAAAAAAATTTAAAAATTACCACAGATTGGTTCGAAACAAGTCGAACAAAAATCGTGAGTTCTCCGTTAGTTTAGTTAATATATAATGATGATTATATTCAATAGCGATTATTTTTTATTGTACATTACTTTTAAATAATTTATAAAATTCCGTAATGTGATACGTTGCGTCGTGTCCAGACTGTCAATAATATCAAGGTACAATATGAGTGACAACTCGTCATTCAACAGTAATTATTACTTGTGCCCTTTGTACACAGAGTACTTGGTACTTGGTGCAACGGGCTGGTATCCGCAACTCGACGACAAAGCGCCTATTTTGCGTGTACACAGAGTAATAGTGTCGGGTTATTTTGCATGCATTACCCGCGCAGAACTATTTTAGATTAAAATTTTTAGTTTTTAAGTTTTTTTTTATTATATTCGGGTTAACAACACTACACACAGTCAGATTACAATACAAGAAATATACAAATAGGGTGAAACTAATTGTAAAAGCAGCATATTACTAACATCATAAACAACAGCTTTTGTTCCATGACTTTTTTACCAAAAATAAAGTTTTAGGTTTTTGTTGTACTCTATAACACTTTTTAGATGTGTATTTTTAGCTTGATGTCATTCTTAAAAATAATTTTGGTCATGGGTGCTTTCTTTTGCTACCGCATAGAGTTATCGCCATTTAGAGCGATCTATTTAATTAATTTTATTTTCGTACGAAACTAAAATCTGGTGAATTACTAAATGGAACAAAATTTATTGTTTATGATATTAGTAATAATAGACCTGCGTGGTTGTTAATATTTTACAAATAAATTATTACATCATAATTTTCACCCCTCATGGAAAAATGGTATAAGTGGAGTTACGTCAAAAACGTTTATTGCTCCATTAGATACAGAAAAATATAACCCACTTCCTGTCCAATTCTTGTAACTCTATCTACAATATTAGTCGATGTAATTACAGGGATTGGAGATGATGTGTTATATTTTTTGTATCTTCTTCTTCTTCTTATTTAAGAGCTAGGCTCTTGTCGGTGGAGTAATCGCCAATTATTTTTATATCTAATGGAGCAATAAACATTTTTGTCGTAACCCCACCTATGCCATTCTTCCATGAGGGGTGCGATATATAATGTTATTAATGCTAGTAATTATACCTCAAATAAGAAAAAGACCTATTTGTATGTAATGGTAACTCTGCCCGTCTATTGCATTTTTATACTCCCTATCCTAAACCCTAAAAAATATTTGTATTGAGTTTACTTTAGTTAGTACTTGTTATAAGGAATAGAGACCATTTTTTCCCTTTCTTGATACAGCTATGCTCAATAAATTACAGATCATAAAATCCATATGACGGACGTATCTTCGGCCTCGGCAACGGGATTTTTCGACCCGTTCACGATGCAATGGGCCGGTTGGGCCATGGCTCTCTTTCACATACAATTGAGCTCGCTGCCTGCAGTAGTCGACACCGCTGGATCACATTTTACAAGTACATCACCTAAGATTTGGGGACATGCTATACCTATTGTCAGTTGTGTAAGTATTTTAAATATTTGATGCACAATGCATGGCGAAAAAAATCTTGGTTTCACGTACAAAAATGCTCAGTCGATCGGACATTTGGTATTCGTGAATTTTTAATAATTTTGTGGCTTACATTATTTGTTTTAAGTAACAGTACTAACCGAAACAGGGTCGCGCCTTTTTCTTACACTCTATTATTATGTAATACACCATAAACAATAATCAACACGGAATTTCTAGAAGAACGCTTTTAACTGACAGTAGTCAGTCAAAACCCTGTTTTTGTTGTAATGTTTTTTGAACATGACTCAGTTGTGAAGAAGTAATTTTAAAATAATACAATAGACCTATATAATAATACACATTAATTGTAATCCGGTATGTAATTCCAAACCTGTAAACACGTATATCTTTTCAAAAGATAACTTTTCGCCTGTTCTCTCTCTTCCATCTTTTCTTCCTTTTTTTTTCGATAATCTTACCTGTAACTTTTAGCGTTGCCATTTTTTTTTTATTGATTATGCCCAAATCGAATCGGTAACTTATTTTTTTTAACAGACTAGTTATTGCAAGTTGTAATAAGCATTCTAAATTAAATAATTGATTATAGGTATAGCTTTTGTTAACACGCGTATATTTGTTTTTCCAAACAAACCAACGTTTGGATCTCTTTGCAGGATGATTGACAATCGCCCGTTCGTTGTTCATTTCCAACGTTTAGCAATCTTCAAAACCTAACTCGATCTAAACGTAAACTAAAATGTGTACTCTATTCACGCGCGGTATTAGCGATTATCAGCTCGCATTACACGTAATATTTACCTATACTAACGAAGAAGATTATTTCCCAAACGGGGTGTAGAAAATAATCTGCTTCGGATTTGGATGATTGGAGGTTTTTCACGACGGTTCAGGGCACTGTTCATTGGCGAACAACTTCGACGTGAATGGTGATCTTAGCATGTTTGCTATGACATCCACGTCATTGACATCGGAGTTATGACATAGGCATTAATTGTTAACATGTTGGTTAATATTTGACAGTGTTGTTATACGGCTAACATGTTTTCTTATGATTGTGGCGCATAACACGTTGTTTTCTATCTTTATCTTTATTTAAATAAATAGGTACTGATAATGACGGGCCCAAACAACAACTTTAATTTAGGAGCAATTAATTTCAAATCCGGATATTAATTCATAATTTTTATTGTTCTATATTATGTATATTGTGTACATATAATATTAAAAATAACGCACACAATAAAAGTCCCGCACTAGAGAAACCCTATGTCGCGGGTGCCATGGATACATGCTTAGATAACCACATATTACACCCAAACTCACGAGAGAAACAAATTTAGGCCATACAATTATTTCTCCCGGGGCCCGGGAATCGAACCCGGGGCCTCTGTGTGATAGACCAGCATAATAACCGTTCGGCCACGGAGGCAGTTGACATAAAATTATAATTATGATAGAGATATTATTATTTATGTAAGTATGTCATAGTACCGTTATAGTACGCTTTCTGTATTTTGTTTTTCATACGGAGCAAAGGTGAAGAAAGGTGAAGTTCAATGTGTTCATTATACAGGATTATTTGTAAAATACTAACAACCTGGTAGGACTGTACTACTGATATCATGAACAACAACTTTTGTTTCATGGCAGTCGTGACTTTTTACAAAACGTAATAAATTTACCAAAAATAACCCTTTAAGTTTCTGTTGTACTACCTTTTATATAGTATCGTAGTAAGTTCCGTTCCTGCATTTTGCTTTAGACTGGCATTTACGCTTTCTTTTGTCGCCTTACAGAGTTATCGCCTTTTGGAGCGACCTATTAAAAAAAAATATTATTGTACGAAAGTATGTAAAATCTGATGAATTGTTAAAGATCATAGGATTAAAGTTGTTGTTTATGACGTTTGTAATATTATATATAGCCTTGCGAGGAACTACAAATAACCCTATGTAAATAATTATACCTGTTATAAAAAAGTGATAAACTCAACAGTTACTTAGTAACATAAATATAAATTAATAATTTGTTTAGATTATAATGTACATTGTGTTTATGTGTGTATATAAGTTTATGTGCGAGTATGTATGTATATCAGTCTTCTTTTTATCGTATCGATGGCATACACTATAATGCTTGTCGTCCTGGTGAAAGAATTTGTCAAACAACATAAGGAATCAATAATCAACATGTAAGGTGGGCGAACAAATTTTCAGAGCCGTATAACTTGGAATGCGGGGTTAGGCAGGGTGGACTAACATCTCCTAGATTATTCAATTTGTACGTCAATGCACTGATTGGTGAACTCAGCAGCACGCATGTGGGCTGCTTTGTTGACGGAATTTGTTTAAACAACATTAGCTATGCCGATGACATGGTGCTGCTGGCGCCATCGATCAGCGCATTGAGAAAACTAATTGGAGTATGTGAGTCATATGCAATATCCCATGGCTTGTTATATAATGTTAAAAAGTCGGAATTTATGATCTTTGGAGCCGCCGGTAGGAAGAGTCCTACGTGTGCACTTCCTGTACTACTTAATGGTACTCCGTTAAAAAGGGTTAGCCACTTTAAATACTTGGGACACTATGTTACCGACGACTTCCAGGATGACCTGGTATGTATATGTATATCTATGTTAGTCACATTATCATCATTTATGTTTATTTACAATTTAGTTAGTTTAATTAATTTGTGTTAAATTTATTTCCCATAATTAGTCCCACAGACTTTATTTCTTCATCATGGCTAGGGTGGCTGGAAGAGGTATCTTCTAGAAACGGTTACCATGCTGGATTGCCACTCAAAGGACCTGGGTTCGATGCCCGTGCCGGGATAAATATTTGTATGGCCTACATTTATTCCCCTCGCAGCTTTGGGTGTAATTTGCGGCTGTCTACCTATGTGTGTGCGCGATACAGGGTTTCCTTAGTGCGATAAAAAAATGGATGATGATAAGCAATAACGTATCAACCAACATGATCATAGTTTTGCGAAAATGGCACCTAAAGATTTTTTCGTTGCTGTTGTGCTTGTTGTTGTAGGGGTATTAAAGTAGTATGTTACAACAACAGTTCATCATTCCTGAGGTGACAACAGCAAAAGTTTTAATTTTTACAAGTAAATTTTTGAACAAACTGTCAAAAACAACAAAAAATGTGCAAATGCCATTTTCGCAAAACTATGATCTTGTTGGCTGACACGTTATTGTTTACCAGCATGCAATTCACCTTTTTTTAACATAGTTTTTGACATGTGACGAGATTTTTCTTGTGCAATAAAGAATTAAAGAAGAAAGTGCTAGATATAGTAGCTAGATATAATATAGTGTAAATGATAGCTCTCTCAAAGGGCAATAATGTAAATTCAGCCTTACTGGAAGCGGTGGTTCCTACGAGCGAATTCTATTTTAACTGTACTACCATTGTGCTTACTTATAACGAGTATTGGTTATCTTTACACTCTTAAATAAACGTATACGTTGTCAGATGGCCGATCAAACAGCTTCAATGTGGGGCTCATGTTGCTTCGATGTTGGTGATATAAAACTGACAATGGGTACCGGGACCTTCTTCAACATCAACACTGGGACGCTGCCACATGCGAGCATTTCTGGCCTTTATCCCGTCGTCGGATGGAGGCTGGACAAGGAGTTGGTATTTGTCGCTGAGGGGGCCAATAATGATACAGCTTCTATTATCAAATGGGCACAGAATTTAGGTATGTCGATTATTTTATTGTCTTAGGTTTTATCAGTATTACATATGATTAAATTAAATATTATTTGTTGCACGTGTACTTATATTTTGAAAGTAAACATGGAAGCAGCTGTAAGATACCGTTGGTTTATGCTTCATGATAATTTTTTTATAAAAAGAAACCAACTTCAAAACTTCGTCAAATTACATCTTTTTGCCAAATGTTCTTGAAATCGGTTACCGGACAGTGCGCGTAACTGGATTCATCCCCTAGTTTGCAGCCCTTACAGGTGGAATATTTTCGTCAAATTTACATGGGACCAATACTGAGGTACCCTCTTTTCAACAAAATAAGAATCATCGTAATCGGTTCACAAATACCAAAGAGTAATCGTGTAACGTATATTAAAAATGAGAACCTCCTCCTTTTGTGAAGTCGGTTATAAATACGCTTTATGATAATAATATCAGACAAGTACACATACCCATTTTATTTTAATTAAATAATAGGGGTTAAAGTATGAAATTGCCGATTTGTACTGAAAAT